CGATGTCTGCGGCTGCCCGCGCCGCGTACACAAAGCACACGACGGGCAGAGGCAGTCAGTTCAGGACGTTCGTTCTAGTGAATAGTCCATCACTAAAAAGCGCGTGGCGCGGACTGAGCTGACCGCCCCGCGCCGCCGTCTGCGTTACTGCATATAATAAACTGGTTTGTATGATCCACGGCGGGCAGCCGCGGACATGCCGCGCCGCCAGTGCCCGCCGGGCACCTGCGGCGCGGTCTGTTTGCTCTGTGTGCATTTGTAATTAAGGATTCACTTTGTGCTATCGTTCGCGGCGAAATTGACCGGCCCGCCCCGCCCCGTCGTCTGCAAAGCGCCTTAAGGTTCAAATAATTCTGCTTGGCCCAATCCGCAACTGCATCGAGGTCAAGGTTCATCCGCTCAATAGTCTTATCTTTCTCAGGCCGAGTTGTGTGCGTTTGACCTTGAATATTTTTTCTGCTGAAGTAGGATCGAATGGGATTTTTGTTCCACCACATTTTTGCACCACCTAATGTACATGTCGGATTTTTTTCAACTTTGAATCCGCCAAGTACATTACCTCAGAGGTGGTGCAGAAATGTGTGCATACTACGTAAAAAAGAATTTTCTAATTATTAAAACCGCGAAATCTCACGAATAGTGAGTCGTGAGAGAAAAAGTGCCTAGACCATTTTTGTACAGAATTGTATGGTCTACAACTTTTGTATGACCTACTTTCACGACAAAACTTACCGTTTTCGAGAAAAGTGGAAAACCCATAATTTTGTACGTTTTGAGTTGAATTTTTTTTTTGCATAAGTAAGATCGAAGGGGATTTTTGTCATTTTTTATAGTGATATATTTAACGTCTCCGCCAATTTTCAGCTCTATGCGAATTATTCCTAAGTCAAATGTCTTTTTTGACAGGACTATAAACAAACTCTTCAGCTTTATATTATATTGTACTAGCTGTGGCCTGCGGTGTTACCTGCGGTTTATTAGGGATATTTTCCCACAGTTAAACGTAGCGTATGTGTTAATCCAGGGTGTCAGCTAACTCCATACCAAATTTTATTAAAAACGCTCCAGCCGTTTAGACGTGAAGAAGTAACAAACATACACTCACAAACTTTCGCCTTTATAATATTAATATAAGGATGATAAACATTCACAATCAGCTTTTATTTATTTCTAAAAGTTACTTTAATTCCATTATAAGGTGCTAAAATTCAGTCGATAAAATGTATCGAAAATGTAAAATGTACGACGCAAGACACCACTAAAGTAGGTGCAATGACCTTGTACTGCGTGCGGCCACGTGCAGCGCTCTGTGGTCCACGCGTCATTCTTGATCGATCGTACTACATTACGTGTTTTGAATGTCGTAGAAAGAATAGCGAACGTACTTTGTCAGCAATGAATATTTTTTTGGAAATATATATGTGATTTATCGTTTTATTCAAATTTCTCGAATTTTTGCTAAAATATCAGTCTAACTAAGAAGTTTTATACTTACCGATGAAAAGAAATTCCTGCTTTAGGTAGATTTAATGATTGACTCCGAACTTTGCAAGTAATTACGGAACACGAAGGCATATTTTAAGCGGTAATCACAATACTCTCTCACTGAGCGGTCGCGGGCAACTAAACGACGCGATCGGACGTTACGGTCAAGTTATGAGCATTTGCTCATAACTGTGACGCGCCTGCCCCGCCCACAAGGCCATTCTAACCTCTTTCTGTGTTCTGTGAGTTTGACCGTCTGACGCCGATCGGAAAGGTAACCATGGACCCATTTGACGGCCAGTGATAATAAACCGTAATACTTAAGTTTCGACAGTAGCAGAAATTAACAACATTGACAAGATACCTGTCGAAAAAACGACACTTTTCGTACTCTAAGTATTATTTTCGCATTTTTTCGCGGAGCTCTGTGGCATATTGACTTTGTAACGGTTCGCGCGTGACTGTGAACCAAGAAGTGCTTGAGTGGAGTTCAAGCAGATTGGGACACAATTTGAGCGCTCGTGGTGTATCTAGGGTATTTAATATCGTTGAGCAGATGGTAAAAAAGCCGTTGACACGGGGTGAGTTACAAGCTGCTAGCGAACTCGCTGGTTTGTGGCTTTTAAACTCGCCCAGAGTCATCGAAGCTTTGTTATGTTAGGAAAAGAAGCCTCACTTGTGTGCTCTTCTTCTTTTTTTATGGCATGCACGGTTTGTGCGTTCAGCCAATGTCAAGTAAAAATTAAGGCAACAGTATAGGAAAAAAGGAATCGGTAATACTTGTATGCTCTTCTTCTTCTTCTTTTTCTTTTCTATGTACTTGTGTGCTCGGTGACTCGGTAGGTCAATGGACATTATTTTTTAGTAATGTTTTTTCTTAGTAGAAAGGCATAGAATTCTGAGTCCATACTGCCTTATTTTGAATGTTTTTTTTTTACATTGGAATGCGTATGTGATGCATTTTTATGTTCCTTGTAGTTGTGGCATGAAATCTTTCTAATAGGTTTTCACGATAAGCATCTGATAGGTCAGCAGATTAGACTGGAAGTACTCAACGCAAACTTAACGTTTTAAGTACTGGAAAATTTCCCAATTTTTAGGGAAGTCATGTTCTACTTCGACAGAAATATTAAATGAAGTAGATTAAAATTTTCTTATTTCTTGATACAAAAGAAAAGCAATTCGGTTCCATTTTATACAGAACAAATCTTTAAAAAAATGTTAATAAATATTGAATTTATTATGAATGAAATTGTTATGTTAATATTATTTAATTACACAATTGCCCCTTACTAATCACTTCGCTAATTGAGAGATCCTCTGAAATGAAATGGCAAACAAAAAAATAACATTTTAAGAAGACGAGTGTTTCGATTTTCACCATAATCATGAAAATCCTTGTCAAACTGTCTTATATAAACAGGACAGAGCCCGAGTACTGTTATCGATAAAACGAGAACAGTTAGCGAAAAAAACGTGGCGTTTTTATCCTTTTATAACCCATCGAACTTCATGCCGCCTACAGTCGATGAATGTGGTATCTTTTAAACTTCATTTAATTAATGATTTTACAACCGCAAAACAAAAATCAAAAAGGTCAATCGTTAATTAGGATTAAAGATACAGAAAGTGATTTTTTAATAACGTGTACTTTAATAGCGTAGGTATTAACAAAATTTAAAATAGGGTTAATTCGTTGCTAGGTATATTCTCCAAAAACAACGATCCCTCTTAATCTCTCAGTACTTTAAGAGTGCTTAGGAAATTAGGGAAGGTTCTATATTTTTAGTAACAAAAATACAATGAAATATTTGTCTTGTTGAAAAGCAAACTATAATATTGATACATAAGTGCAGTATTGAAGTTATATCCAACGTGTTTTTCGTCTTCTTGTGTGATCATATCTATGTTGCAGGCTATTTTCACCCATTTTTACCTTTTGATTTCTATTTTAAATTGTATACCTATAATGTATAACTGATTTGCAGTACAAATAAGCTTTGTGTATGCATGACGTGAGCTGTTAATTGTGGAAATTGGTGGAATATCAAACATAGTTTATTTTTTTATTCATTTTATTATAACTGTTTTCCGTTATTTTTGGGATATTTTAATAGTTCTTCTCTTATTCGGAGCAGAGACAAATCCAAAAAATCAGATCTCACAAAAATCCGACCTGCCCTTCTTGGATTTTATGTGTTCGAACAAAACAAACAAAACTTTTTGAAGTTATACTTCTTTAGGCGCGTTATGAAAAAATGATGAGAGTGAAATTTTAAGATGCGCGCGCATCACTGTAACACAAAATTTTAACAGCATGAAGTTGGTCGCTTTAGCGACCAACTTCATGCTGTTAATTTTGTGTTTACCGCACATTAAGAAAATCTACCAACGAAATAGAAATAGAATCTCAATTTAGTGGGTACTAACGACTGCATTGTGAAGGCCTATCAAAAGTATTTATTAATCTGGAACAACGGAACCAAAGCGCGATTCAGGAGACTACAGCGCCATCTCTTGACCATTGGTGTAGTAGAACCAAAAACCACATCTTTATTTTTTGTAATAAAGTAACAGTTATAGGTATTCATATTTATAATATTTATCCACATGTTTCTAGTTTGTATATTCGGAATACGTGTTTGAGTTTCATACAAGTGCAAATCACATATGTTCTTGTTTAAGTTTTGTAACTATAGTAGGTAATATAATAAGGAATAAATATTAATGTAAAAGATAAAATAAACACAAACTTAAATATTAAATTACTTTATAATATCTCTCATAGATGGCGTTGATGCATGGTGAAATATACGATATGGTTCTGTTTCGGATAAGATTAGATATTAGGATAAAATTAGTTAATAACGCCGGTCATAGATGGCGCTAATTCATCGTGAATTGCGGTATGGTTTTGTCTCTGTATTTATACAAGTATTTTTTAAACCTTGTTAATTGGCTTTTTCGCTGTTTGCTATATTAAAGTTATATGAATATACTTCAGCCTTTAAATTGAACATCCCACCACAACCAGAATTTTATACAGTTCTAATAAATTATATTCAGTAGCGATTTTAATTGAATATTTTGATTATTTATTTATTTTTTCAAATTAAAACTGAACTTTATTGACTGTCTCCTTTTCCAGACTTTTTATTAATTTATTGTAATTAAATATTTGCATGCAATTAAAAACTAATTTTAAACGATGCCAAAGAAGGATAACTTCTCACGCGCCTACATAAGTACACGCACCCATTTTTTTTTTATTTTATAAAATATATGTACACAGGTATTTTTTAATATTCTCAAAATCTAGGGTGAACTATACAATAGGTAAAGTGTAATTAAAATCTAGCAACACTTACTCCGCCCCTTGTCGTCTTAGAATATGTGTCAGAATTAGAAAATCTTTTGAGTTTTTGACTAAAGTTCTTGAATTATTGAGTATTTAGTCTATAACATTAAACAATTCATTCGTCTTTATTAATTTAATTATAGTTATGTAAATTCATAGAATAGATACTTCAAGTTTCATGAATTATCATTGAATCCTGCAGTGCTGTCAAACTTTCGGCCTATCGATTTTCCAAGAATATATTAATTTGAACCTGAATTTCTAAAGATCTAACAACTTTTCATTCTGATTCTCATTTAAAAGAGCCAAGATGACTGATTCGAAATATTTTACAACCACCAAAAAGGGGGAGATTTTTGAGCTAAAGTCCGAGCTAAACAGTGATAAAAAAGAAAAAAAGAAGGAAGCTGTAAAGAAGGTATCGTGTCAATTTATATCTTTCGAAACAATATTTTCATGCCTAGGTACAATAATGTAATGTCCAAAAGAAATTTTATAGCAAAAAAATCAACTTAGATTGATATTGGTCTGGAATCAAACATCCCCCACTTGGGCTGAGTTATATTTTTTTAGTAGAAAAACTTTCTTTAGATATACAATTTAAGCGGTTTATTATTTTATTTAAAATATAATTTAATATTACTTTGTTGAATTCTTTAGATTTTCAAATAGTCTTCGATATCTTGATAAATAAGTTTGATACAAACAATTAAAGGATTAAATAGATGAAACAGGATTACTTAGAGTTTCTGAGTCTGATTTTCATATAAATTAATTTATTTTTAAAAGATTGTTTGTTCTTTTAGGTCATTGCATCTATGACTGTTGGAAAAGATGTGTCAGCTCTATTTCCCGATGTAGTAAACTGTATGCAGACAGACAATCTTGAGCTGAAGAAGCTGGTGTACTTATATTTGATGAATTATGCCAAGTCACAACCAGACATGGCTATTATGGCAGTCAACACTTTTGTCAAGGTGCTTATTTTTTATTACACATTGGATATATTAAGGGTTTTATGGTGCAGAACAGTATTATTTTATTTGAATATTATATAATCGGTAGGTATATTATTATTAAACCTTCTATTTTTTGCTGCTATGGGATTAAATTAAGTGATTCTTGATTGGATCATGTTGATCAATTCATATTGTATATAACTAGAATGAGCTTGTGCACTGAAAAACTCATACTTTTTGTTAAATTTTTGAGAATTATGCATGCTCTTAATAGCTTGACAAAAAATTTGGGTTACAACCCAAATTAAATTGTAAACTACTTAATTAACAACAAAAAATAATACAACAATAGTCTTATAAGATACTAAGTTGATTCTACAAATTGTGAACAATGGCATACTCGAAGAAGATATATTACTTGATGATATAATAGTTTTAGTACTGGACTATAATTGGTAATTAGTAAAATAACTTTTATTAAATTTGAATAAATTGGAGATTAAATCTTTCAAACTATTTTGGGAGAATTCATCTCTACTCCTGCAAGAATGCTATGTGATATGGTATTCCGTATCAAATAGCATTGAACCTGTTTATTATATGTTATTTCATCATTTTTTATTTCCATTATAATTAAATAGGACATTTTTACAATTCAAAACATGTTCTTTGGGGGCAAAAGGTTTTAATAAATAGATTTTTTTGCAATAATTAAATAAGTTACTAGGTAGATTAGTAAATTGTGTGTGTGTGACTTGTCTTTTTTATCGTTCTAATTTCCACTGTACCATATTATGATGGCTGGAAGGATCTACCAACATACCAGCTTGTTAAGGTAAATGATGATCCAGAAAACCAATCAGCTCATCCATTTGTAGATTTACACATTTATCCAAGATACACTTGCTAGGTATATCTAATAAAAGCACTAAGTAAAGACAACTAAGGCCCATATTACAGAATGATAACTAAGTGTTGATCTTTACTTGAGTACAGTTAGAAAGGGATGTCACTATGTTCTATATATAGCGACATCCCTTTCTTACTATGCTCAAGACTAGATCAATCACTGAGAATCTTTCTATAATATGGGCCTAAGTATCAGTAAAGAGTAATTAATTAAAATCCTGCATGTGACTGTTACCAAGGTGAGTGCATGATTTAAAACATCACATCATATTATGACAAAGTCACTAATACAAGCACATTACAGATGTGTAAATCTACACAGTATCAATTTCCAATTGATAATAAAATATTGTATCTGTATAAAAAAAAACAATGTATGAACTATTTACCAATATATATATATATGCCTCATTAAAATTCAGTATAGAAGCACTCAGGCTGAATATCATTATACTTTATCCAGTAGAAACTTTCTAATTGATAAAATAAGGGCAGAAGCTCGGATCGGATGACTGCTCCTCGTGTGGTTTCATGTTAATTTATGAAGCAGTGCTGTGTCAGGCGGGTCTTCCTTCGCAACACTACTCTATGAAATGACATAAAAATGCATGTGTAGCGGATGTGCCCTAAATATCATTAAAATTAAATAAAACTAACACCTTATTAGAATTAAAAATGAAAGATTAGCAAGTTTTTACACACAATTAAGACCAGAAATTTATGAAATCCAAATCCCCATTAAACCAGTGACATTTTCATACATGCAGTAGCGCCCTAGGTTTCCTAACTTCCTGGTCTAGTGCCTGCTTCTAGTTCAAGATTGCTTCAGTATTATTGATGTTTTGCTTCTCTTTCTTTTTATACTCGATACCGAATGCAAACTACGTTGAACACTCCAGGACTGTGAGGACTCCAACCCACTGATCAGGGCGCTGGCTGTGCGGACCATGGGTTGCATTCGGGTTGACAAGATTACCGAGTACCTTTGCGAACCTCTGCGTAAATGTTTGAAAGATGAGGATCCTTATGTGAGAAAGACGGCAGCTGTATGTGTGGCTAAGCTGTATGACATATCATCCAGCATGGTTGAAGATCAGGTAATAGATATTATATTTTACCCGACCCGAAGAATATAGTGATAGTTATATTTTATCCGATTATATCTAAATAATGATTATTTTAGTGGACAAAGTTTTACTGTAAATCGCATGACATAGTAAAGGACAGATACAGATTAAAAGTAAATGATTACAGAAGAAATCAAGTTAAATGTCCACAAAATAAAAACTTTTATTTAACAACATCTAGCAGTCACATGCTTAAAAAATTTTAAAAAATGAATATTTTTTTACTATAGGGATTCTTAGACCAACTGAAGGACTTGTTGAGCGACTCAAATCCAATGGTAGTGGCTAATGCGGTCGCTGCCCTTTCTGAGATTAATGAAGCAAGTGTATCTGGACAACCTTTAGTTGGTGAGTAATCTATAATAATTCAGTTAAAACACTACATTTCGTAATCTTTCGTGCACTCAGTTAATCTGCAAGAATATTTAATTATTATATTTTCTCTACCACTTCAAATTGCTAAATGTTAAAATTCCTAAGTCTTCAAATAGCTAAGAGTTAAAATTTAGCACTGCATATTACTACAGATAACGACAATTCAAAGATGTCAAATTAATCAGCAATCCTGTTAATAACTATGAAGAATAATACATTTTCAACACCTTTGCTCGAAATATACATTTACAGAGATTGTTCGAAAGATGAAAATGGCGCCGTGGGTTTTTTTAATTTTTTATTTTGATCTAACGTCCTTACAAACGTTCTTAATCTATACCTTTGTCTCTCTTTAATGCTAAAAATATGTATTTCAAATTCCACCACCCCCATGTTGGCCCCATTTGGATATGCAGGCCATTTTCTTATTAGGAAAAGTTTGCTTCATTACATAAGTTAGGTATAGGTCCTGTCTTCTAGCAAATGTGTTGTAAAACGTTGTATGACATTCGTGCGGAATTGGTATTTCCTAACTCGACTTCGACTCGGGCTTAAATTCGTCTACTCGTTTGTGATAACTGACTTACCGCACTAATATCATAAATAACTAATACCGAACCTATTCTCGTTGTTGCTCAGAAATGAACGCGCCCACCATCAACAAGCTGCTGACCGCTTTAAACGAATGCACCGAATGGGGCCAAGTGTTCATACTGGACGCGCTGTCCAACTACTCGCCGCGTGACGCGCGCGAGGCTCACTCCATATGCGAGCGGATCACGCCGCGACTGGCGCACGCCAACGCGGCGGTCGTTCTGTCCGCTGTGAAGGTAACCGCCCGGTGCTGACGTCATATGCCAGCGTCCCGTACAGTGTTCATACTGGACGCGCTGTCCAACTACTCGCCGCGTGACGCGCGCGAGGCTCACTCCATATGCGAGCGGATCACGCCGCGACTGGCGCACGCCAACGCGGCGGTCGTTCTGTCCGCTGTGAAGGTAACCGCCCGGTGCTGACGTCATATGCCAGCGTCCCGTACAGTGTTCATACTGGACGCGCTGTCCAACTACTCGCCGCGTGACGCGCGCGAGGCTCACTCCATATGCGAGCGGATCACGCCGCGACTGGCGCACGCCAACGCGGCGGTCGTTCTGTCCGCTGTGAAGGTAACCGCCCGGTGCTGACGTCATATGCCAGCGTCCCGTACAGTGTTCATACTGGACGCGCTGTCCAACTACTCGCCGCGTGACGCGCGCGAGGCTCACTCCATATGCGAGCGGATCACGCCGCGACTGGCGCACGCCAACGCGGCGGTCGTTCTGTCCGCTGTGAAGGTAACCGCCCGGTGCTGACGTCATATGCCAGCGTCCCGTACAGTGTTCATACTGGACGCGCTGTCCAACTACTCGCTGCGTGACGCGCGCGAGGCTCACTCCATATGCGAGCGGATCACGCCGCGACTGGCGCACGCCAACGCGGCGGTCGTTCTGTCCGCTGTGAAGGTAACAGCCCGGTGCTGACGTCATATGCCAGCGTCCCGTACAGTGTTCATACTGGATGCGCTGTCCAACTACTCGCAGCGTGTTAAGATTGCTGACATAAATCGATGTAGATTACAAAAGTCTATACTAAAATCATGCCAAAAGGAAGAGTAAAGGTCTCCCTTTGACGCTCCGACACACTAGTCTCTAGTTGTGGTCTGTGGTAAAGTAACCGAATACTGGCCGCGTGATGTATTCCATATGCGAGTGGATCAATTTATCAGCTATTCGACGACAACAGTTAGTTAATAGTTTATCATCAGTTATTTAATGCCTTCGCTACTGAAGCACAGGTCTTCCCTATGGATGGAATTGCGAGAAATAGATAATTGGCGGGTGCTAACGACTGCAAATGCAGCTGGCACCGACGGCCCAGCGGCAATAAAATTTTGGTCATCTACCTGATTGCGAAAGTTTCTTAACATCCACCGAACGCGCTAAACTCTGGCGCCATTGCGCTTCTCTATCTTATGTAATGCTAAAATACTTTTTTTTATAAAGGCCAAGTTTCTGATACTTATAGCACTTAAAATAAAAAGGGACACTGCTGGACATATGCCTCCATTAGGGATTTCCAAACACAACGGAGTTGTGCGCTTTCCGCATGCAGCGGCTCCCCCCGCCTCGCTTGATGTCGTCAGTCCACCTGTCCCTGTAACATTAGCACCACAATTTATATTATATCATGTTTTTTATCACGTCTAACTGTCGAATTCCATAGTAATTTGACAATTGAGCTTGTAAAATACGAGCTATATATAGGGGTCTGAGCAAGCTATATATAGGGGTCTAAGCAAATATTTTTGGGCGATTTAATAGAGTTGTACTTTGCATCCTATTTGAATAGAGATATTTTGAGTTTGACCATATCCAGGTGTTGTTGAAGACACCTAACTAACTTTGTCGCGGAAGCTAGCCCCGCCTCTATTGACGTTCTGAGTGCTGAATCATTACGAGCGTTAGGCACTGGACATAGAGTTGAAAATACATACCTTAAATAAAACAAGTTTCAACGGGTCAGATGCACTGATTTTATTTATTTAAAAAAGAAATTCTGACGACGCATTCCTGCAAAGGCTGCGAAACGTCATAAACTTGTTTTATATAATGAGTGATGTGCGTGAAAACCTAAGAAACAAATACATACCTTATCAAGACCGATATAAAATCAAGGCCCTACAGTTTCAAGACTTTTCTCATATCCAGGTGTTGATGAAGCTAATGGAGATGGTCAGCGAAGACACCGAACTAGTGGGAACTCTGTCGCGCAAGTTAGCTCCGCCTCTGGTGACTTTACTGAGTGCTGAGCCAGAAGTACAGTACGTGGCGTTGAGAAACATTAACTTGGTGGTGCAGAAACGACCGGAAATATTGAAGCATGAGATGAAGGTATGTCTATGTCTAAGGTTGTTGGAAGCGATTTGCTTCCGCTTTCATTATGCGAACGGCTAGGGAGTGGAACTCCTTACCGAGGTCTGTTTTCCTGGACCAATATAATCTGGACATCTTCAAGGCCAGAGTGAAAAGGCATCTTCGAGGCAGGCGTATACCATCCTAGGCCTCATCATCGCTTTCCATCAGGCGAGACGGTGGTTAAAAGCCTTGCCTATTTGAAAAAAAAAATACTATTTCTTTGGTGTCGATTCTGGCATGATTTTCTAAACCTAAATTCTCTATACAGAATGAAAAAGAGAGACCGATGTTTAATTTAGTTTTCAACTTTAGAGAATTAGGCCAGAATCGACGACACCAATGTCTTTATAAACCATTATAAACACTTTGTAATTTACCACGATTTCGCCATTGTCACGTATATAGCTTTATAAGAGTTTGACAAATAAATAAATAATATTTCCAACACTCGCACCAATTAACCTAGCCTGGAATAAAGCTCTGTAAGGCTTGTGTTTTGGGATACTAGGGTAACGGATAGAATACATATAAGTATATTTATATAGAAATACATATTAAACCTATGACTGGAGTTCAAATGCTCGTATTCTACACAAAAACTTCTGCCCACCGGCATTCGAACCCTCTCGAGTCAGCGACACTATGAAACCCGGCGTACAAACCACTCGCCCATGGAGGTCATCAAATGTCAAATACATGTGTAATTATTATGTATTTGTATCCGTTACCTTACTATCTCATAACAAAAGCGCAAGTGGTGTGAGTGTTAAAAATATGATTTTTTTCCTTGTCTAAACTCTCTCCAATACTTTTGTTCAGGTGTTCTTTGTGAAATACAACGATCCTATCTATGTAAAACTGGAGAAATTGGATATCATGATAAGACTCGCCTCTCAAGCGAACATCGCTCAAGTGCTCGGAGAATTAAAGGAATATGCAACTGAAGTCGACGTGGACTTTGTCAGGAAGGCAGTGAGAGCCATCGGCAGATGCGCTATCAAGGTAAATAATTAGACTATATGATTCGTAGATATAAGGCTTATTTTAAACTAACGGTGTTCTATCTGTGGATTCTTGCGTTTGCATAAATGTAATCGAGCTCTTATGTAGTTGGAATAAGATTCATAATAGTTTAACTGGGTATCGGTTAAGTGCTAAGGGAATAGAAGGAAGACAATCAGGGCATCAAGGTATTCAGGACTTTTTGCCGTAGATTTAAGGCTTATTTAGATAAACGGTGCTTCATCTATGGGCTGAAGTGTATGTAGACTTGCCAGGAAGTCATTGATTGCCATCTATTAAGGTAAATACAACTTATATGTTATATATAACATAAGAGTCGTTTTATTTAATGAGTGATGTGCGTGAAAACCTAAGAAACAAATAAGAGTCGTGTTTACCTTAATAAGGCTTATTTTAATTTAACAATGCTTTATCTGAGAACTTGGTGCATAAAGGTAAATGGATTCTTATGTTGTTGAAATACGATTTTATCATCAACCTATTACTGTTCCCACTGCTGGGGTTGAGCCATCCATGACCCACCACGCGGGCCCAATGTGGATCGGTACCCACCAATTCAACTGCAGATGCAATCGTAACCCATGGCTTTAAAGTGACTAGTAAAGCATGGAGGAGCGTAATTCTTTTTGTTTTTTAGACCTTTATAGTTATAAAAAAAGTTTATTTTTTAGTATTTATGCTGCGGCTCTAATCGCCTGTGTTGAATTTTCTCTAGTACTTCTTAGGCTGTGAAGCAGCATAGCAGGTAATTCGCATTGTAGGTAACTCCAAAACCCTGAGTGGATTTTTTAGGATACTACTAAAAGTCCACGCAAGCACTAACTAATATTATACTTTTATTTTTTTAAGCAATATCTTAAAACGAATAAAAATATTATTTTCAGAGTTTGTGTTTTTAAATGCGATAATCCTCATCTTTTTATATAACATAATATATGTTTAATTATTTATTCAGGTGGAACCGTCAGCCGAGCGTTGCGTATCGACTCTTCTGGAATTAATCCAGACCAAAGTGAACTACGTAGTGCAAGAAGCGATCGTGGTGATAAAGGACATATTCCGAAAGTACCCCAACAAGTATGAAAGCATCATTAGTACTCTGTGCGAGAACTTGGACACACTGGATGAACCGGAAGCCAGGGCTTCTATGGTGAGTTAAGACAAAATGATTATAGGATTTGTCTTTTTTTTTTAATTATTTATTTATTCAAGTACTATTACAATTATAATACATACAGTGCAAACAAAAACCAGAAAGGTTTATTCGTGCAATACAATCATCACTGTACATCTAGTTACAATAAATAGAAGTTTTATACACTCTAGTAAATATTACTGAATTACAATATTTTTTTAAAGTTGGGTATGTTGGAAAATAGTCAACATTAAGCGGCAAGATAAGTAAATTACGCTTGTACATACACGTAACAAAAGACGCACGCACCTATACCGATTGGGTATGTGTTTTCATGCTTGCATACCAGTCGAAATGCAGTTATCCTACATAACAGGATGCTCCAATTATAATAAATATGACCTTTTTATTATTTTTATTTTATGTTCGTTGTTACGTAAGTAAGTTTGTTTGTAACTATGGTATTTACTAAATTTATTTACAGAAGAATGCTAAAGTTCGAATTTCGCTTTCGATTATTACGCTGTATTAAATCTTTTATATTTCTTGTAGGTGTGGATTGTTGGTGAATATGCGGAACGTATTGATAATGCAGACGAGTTGCTCGATTCTTTCCTTGAAGGATTCCATGATGAGAATGCACAGGTGAGTTTGTCTTATTATTGACGAAATCAGTTAGTCAGTCTCTGGTTAAATAATGGCAAATATATGTAGGTTAATAAACCTAATGGCACTGGATAACACTTAAGCCACTGCTATCATATTTATAATTATGGACAAAATGAAGACTTGTATTAGTTCATCATTCAGGATTTTTTTCACGTGATAACATCTTTTAAATCGATAAACATCGGCTGCACGCACGAGAAAGTGAGACGTCATATCACGTTGTCACGAGTTAGTTCAACTTTCTGCGGTGTGTTTGAGATGATGTCGATGGGTTTCTTCGGAACCGGAACAAAAATCCACACGAAATTTCTTTGAGGAAAACAGCTGAAGTTATCGTAATCGTAAAATTATCGTCCGAAAATCGACATTACAGACAGCCAATTTTTTTATTACTTACACTAACTAACCTAGCTCCAAAGTAAGCACTGTTAAGACTTGTGTAATGGGATATTAGGGTAACGGATAGAATACATAGCCCAGACCTCAACCCTTTAGACTCCAAATTATGGTCAGTTTTAGAGGACATGGGCTGCTCTAAACGACACGGCCCCATTGAGTCCCTTAAAAAATATTTGGAGCAAGCAGTAGCGAAATTTCCTTTGGAAACAGTGCGTAAATCCATAGATTCGTGACCAAACAGATTAAAGGGTTGTATAAAAGCCAAAGGTGGCCATTTCGAATAGTTTTTTTTTTGCTGAGACTAATAAATATGTAGGTATAAATTTTAATAATATTACATTACTTTACAATACATTTTCATTTGTAACAGAAGTTATGGCTGGACTAGGTATAAGTATCTTTTATAGGGCAATATATATCCTTATGTATTCGGGATTCGAACCCAAACTCCTGGGTAAGCGACACCTTGAAATTCGGCCACTAAGGTCGTCATTGACTTTTTTTTTGTAGGGTACCTAATAATAAATTATTTGGCACACAAGTTCTGTCTCCAAACTGTAAAATAAGTCCTAAATCATATCATCATCAGTCTATTAACGCCCCCACTGCTGGTGTACAGGCCTTCCCTATGGATGTAATAGGGAGATTGGGCCATGACCCGCCACGCGGGCCCAGTGCAGATTGGTGGGTGCTAACGACTGCAGATGCAGCGGGGACCAACGGCTTAACGTGCCTTCCGAAGCGCGGAGGAGCTCGAAATAGTACTTTTTTGGTCACCCATCCAATGACCGACCACTGCGAAAGTTGCTTAACTTAAACGATCGCAGTTGAAACCACTTGCGCCATCGAGCTCCTCTTAATGCTAAATGGTATATTTTTTGTATATAGGTTCAGCTACAGCTACTCACAGCCGTGGTGAAGTTGTTCCTGAAACGTCCGGCCGATACTCAAGAATTGGTACAACACGTGCTCAGTCTGGCCACACAGGACTCTGATAACCCGGACCTTAGGTAAAACCCGTACTTAGGCCCACTTGCAGCAAATTTGATGAATCTCGATTTAACCAAAACCAGATTAAGCCCATAGAAAGATAGATAGATTAACACTTTATTATAACACCAAATACATACATTACATAACATTACAAACAATAAACTTAACAATTAAAAGCGTTATAATTGGCGGTCTTATCGCTAAGAGCGATTTCTTCCAGACAACCATTGAGTATGAAAAATTATACAGAAACCGTAGATTGGGGTGTTCTATGGCTTGGAATAAATAATGTCAAATTGACATGGACGTTCTGACATTTTTCTAGAGGTTAAAGCTAGTTTTAGTTTAATCATGATTTAGCAAATTTGCTACAAGTAGAGCTAAATATTGTTAGCAATGAAAAATTAACTCGTTTTGTCTGTTTACGGTTCAACACGGCAGGCTTATTATAAGTCTAGTAAGCAATAGTAACTTGCGACCACAACGCGACTAACTCGGTCGCTGATTTAGTTTTGTTTTGTATATGAATATAGTGGTTCAGAACAGTAATGGAGATGTGTTATATTTAAAATATTTTTAGTAGAATTTTAAGGGTCTATCCCTATAGACCCTTAAAAATCCCTATATTTGGGCATGCTTTTCCAAAAATAAATTAAATTTGATAACAGTGTAGTGTATCTTTGTCTATGCTCTATATGCACTCTATAAAGTGGTAGTCGGTTTCCGGCAGCGACGAAACATATATCATTTGAAAGCTTGTTTTATATAATAACATGAACAGATATTTGTATTTTTTTATATATCTTCGATTAATTTTAAATTGTCAATAAAAAATGAATAATTACGTTAAGATGCTGGCCTCCCGTCATACGAGCCTATTTGTAAATTTCATTGATTTAACGCCCTATTTTTATTCTGTAGCAGTTTCTTGACGTCAAATCAATGACTGTAAAATGTCAATCAGTCCAGTCATGCTCGGTATTCGTGAAATCGTAGTGAAATTATTATAACAATTTTGATAGATTTTTCTTGAAATTTAATCCAAATCAAAATAATTAATAACATAATGAGAGATGTATTTTAGTTATTAATTGAATAGTATATATTTGATGCTTTGGCAATAAAAAATACATAAATTAAGTTGCCATTTGCAAATAATAATTGTTTTTAAGTGTTATGCTGTCCTTTCTTTTTTTTGTAATTAAATGTGACAGTTTCATTTTTTAACCGGGCCTTATTTACTCAAGGTTTAGTAATAAGGGGAATAAGTTCTGTTGTAGTATTGGATGAACATAATTATTTCAGATACTTTTCTCAAATAAATAAACAAGAAATCTCTGTCCATAGGGATCGCGGTTTCATATACTGGCGTCTTCTATCCACGGATCCCGCAGCCGCTAAAGAAGTGGTATTGGCCGATAAGCCGCTCATATCCGAGGAGACAGATCTTCTGGAGCCGACCTTACTGGACGAGCTCATCTGCCACATCAGCTCGCTGGCATCCGTCTACCATAAACCACCTACGGCATTCGTAGAAGGTAAGTACAGTAATTACTAGAAATCATTTTGTCTCTTTTTTAAGAGGCATGATGACTAAATTTTTTTTTCTTCACCTATCAGGTAGGTTATCAAAAAGTATTAGACGCTTACTTTTTTTTTTCTAAATGGCTTCGCATGGCTTGTGCATTTAGCCAATGTCAAGTGTTAAAATGTTTACAAATACTATAGCACTCGTGATCAAAGTAATAAATCAAGTCAAAGTAAGTGGCAGTCAAGCCAATCCCCCTTTCCCTTCAGTAAAAGTGTAGGGATTTACTGGAACCTCCCCGTGGACTTCTTGAGGGAACGTCGAAAGACATTTTCCGCTATTTTGTTTCATTTGCCAACACTTGTGCATGTTCCCGAACACTGAGTGGTTAATAATCCACCATTATTAGACACTAACATCCGCCACAACACAATTTTTAACAAGAAAAACAAAACTGCTAAAGTGACGCTTTCCGATCCCGCCAAAAAGTCGACGCTTACTTTTTCTTTTTTCACATAATCAAAACATAGAGAGATATTGATTTGAAATGTTGCATAATTTTTACTTACAACTGACGTCACAAGCGCCCACTCCCAAATTTTGACGTTTTTGATGGGAAGACGTGCTTGATAATTACAAAAAACAAGTAAATATATGCGAGATTAACATAATTGCTAGATTTTTAAATCTAAATAAACTTTAACTACAAAAAAACCCGCGCGATCAACCAGAATTCCAACTTGCATCTTCCGCATTATAAGTTACCTACAATGCGAAGAGATGGCGCTGCTTTGCAGCCTAAGAAATACTAGAACAAATAAGACACGGCCATTATGGTTTCGGTATAGTGCGTACGCCCGGGTAGCGGAATATGCAAGTCTTATGCCTGGACTGAATAGATTTTTGAAGTTAAACTTCGTTACGCACGTTTGACTTGGGGGGTAAGCTGGCGAATGCGTTACGCGTTACGAAAAGTGTATTCGGGCGAGGCGAACGGGAGTTGAGTGGGGGATATAAACATGAGAAAGCAGTGCTAGTAAATGAAATATGTATATACATGTATGTATTGTACACACATGAATGGCTCTTACTTTATTGGACCAAAGATATATCTTTGGTTATCAATAGGGATGATGACTAATTATTTTTTCTTCGTTTATCAGGTAGATTATCAAAAAGTATTGGACACTTATTTTTTCTTTTTTCACATAATATAAACATTGCAGAGATATATTGATTTGAAAAGTCGCATGACGTCACGTTTTGGTACAATTTTCACTCAAAAGTAACGTCACGAACCCCTACTCAACTAAACTTTGACGCGCTATAACTTTGTCATTTTTTTGTTGATTGCCCAAAGAAAAAATACGTGTCCATTATTTTTTGATCATCTAACTGACGGACTTAATAGAATATCGTTTACTGTACCCCGTCATCACCCCTATTGAATAGTGAGTTCGTCCGGACAGCGGAATATGCGTGTACTGCATGTTCTTTTTTCTAGTAAAATTCTCTTTAAATTAGTTATATTTTATTTATTCGTCAGGTCGCGGGGCAGGAGTACGCAAGTGTCTGCCTTCCCGCGGAGCCGTCTCCGAAGAAACCCACGCCCCACAACCCACTGTCATACCCAACCAGGTATTAAATACTTCATCATCATCACCCTATTAATGTCCCCACTGTGGTGCAAAAGTATGAGGACCCGGTGAGGGAGAAATCTAAAAATACAGAAACCAAAACGAAAGGAAAGGTAAGGAAAGGAAAAAGCAAAACGGGGGTAGTCAATATAAAAAAAATTAGCTAATCTTACAGTAGTCGCGTATGATGTGTAACATTTGCAACCTCACCTTATATAAGTAAAAAAAAAATCTACTACAAAAGGAATAAGCCATTTGAACATTATGTTCTAAAATCAAATCAAATAGCGCGCGCTTCCCAAACTTCCTGTTACACACTTCCGTCCCATTTCACGAAATCACTCCCACAAATTGCAGGAAAGCGAGAGGAAAGATGTTACACATCAAAAAAAATGTCCCCACTGCTGACCCACCACGAGGGCCCAGTGCGAATTGGTGGGTGCTAACGACTGCAGATGCAGCCAACAGCTAAACGTGCCTTCCGAAGCACGGAGAAGCTCGAGATAGTAAACTTTTAGTCACCTATCCAATTAAAAGCAAGAGTTTTTGATATTTTTTATCCTTTTTTTCTATGCGCAGGAGTCGTTGATCGGCGATCTGTTGTCGATGGACATCGGGGGTCCACCACCAGCGCCCGCGCCCGCTTCAAACCTGGATCTACTCGCCGGCGGACTGGACGTTCTCGTGAGTCAATTAAATATAAATATTTCCAACACTCATACCAATTAACCTAGTACTTAAGTAAGCACTGTAAGGCTTGTGTTATGGGATACTAGGTTAACTGATAGAATACATATACTGTACATTTATTAGTTTATTTATATAGAAATACATATTAAACATCCATGGCTGGAGTACAAATGCTCGTATTCATCACACAAACATCTGACCCCACCGGGATTCGAACCCGGGACATCTCGAGTGGACGACACCATGAAACCCGGCGTAAAAATCACTCGGCCACGGAGGTCGTCGATCTTATTTATACTAGCTGCGTTACGGTATTTGCATCGCAGGGGCAATGGATTTTTGTCACGTGATCACTGATTAATTTTATGCAAATTGCTATTAACGAACGGCCCGGCCAACCGTAGATTCATTTCTAACCTCAAACAAAACAAACCTTACAACATGACAGATAACAAATTAATCATTCTCGTCGGTCAAAATACTCCGAGCAAAGAAATTTACATCGCACTGATCTGTACCCTTAGCACGAACCAATATCGAATTCGAATAGTTTGCGAGTCCGAAATGTCATTGTTAAATTTTGTATGGAAACTTGAACAGCAGCGGCACAAAGTACGTAACGAGAACTAAAAATCAGTACACATTTGACAATGACATTTCGGATTCGCAACCGATTCGAATTCGATTTTGGTTCGTGCTAGGGGTACTGTACCCTTAGCACGAACCATTATCGAATTCGAATAGTTTGCGAGTCCAAAATGTCATTGTCAAAATGTGTATGGAAACTTGAACAGCAGCGCCATAACGGAGGTAACGAGAACTAAAAATCAATACATAAATCAATGACATTTCGCTCTCGCAAACTCTAATTAGAATTCGATATCGGTTCGTGCTAAGGGTACTGAGTGGAATTACCGAACGCTTCAGATTTACTCTAGATGTAATAAACGAACGACTTAGACTAAAAAGATTGATCAGAAGCAAATACCGAACGCAGCTACAGTTAACGATAAAATATAACTATATCTCCTTCTGATAACCTAAAAAGGTGACATTAAATAAAAACATATTTCTAACGAACTTATTTTTTATTAATTTAGCACCATCTTTAGTCAAATTTAAAACTTAATTAAGAATCAAATATGACCTACTTATTTGTTTATTGGCAGTTGGGAGGAAGTGCCCCAGAACCATCCGCATCGTCTAACACGACAGGTCTATTGGGAGACATATTCGGAGTGGCTGCGACTCCTGCCTCACATATACCGCCAAAGCAGTGCTGGCTGCCCGCTGACAAGGGGAAAGGTAAATATATACATATACTAGGTGCTCCAGCGAACTTCGTACCGCCATAAAAAAGGGGTTGTTGGTAGGAGGGTGAAAATTTAGGGTTGTATGTATTTTTATATGATGTATCATAAAAAAATAAAACAAATAAAAATGTAAAAAAGAATAAGGGGGGGTGGTCCACCCTTATTCATTGACATTTAGGGGGATGAAAAATAGATGTTATCCGATGCTCGGCCTGAGCATCTGACTGAATATGCATATAAAATTTACGAAAATCGGTCGAACCGTTTCGGAGTAGTTCAATTACGCACACCGTGACATGAGAATTTTATATATTAGATAGAACTACTCTATACTTAAAAAAATATGTATAATTTAATTGGCCTCGTTTAACGGGTCAATTGGGAGAGATATTAGAAGTGGCTGCCACTCCCGTCTCACAAGAGGAAAGGTGAATGTATATATACATATCGACAACCTCCGTGGCCGGGTGCTTTGTACGCCGGGTTTCATGGTGTCGCCGACTCGAGAGGTCCCGGGTTCGAATCCCGGTGGGGACAGATGTTCGTGTGATGAAAACGAGCATTTGTACTCCGGTCACGGCTGTTTATATGTATTTCTATATAAATATACTTATATATATACTGTATATGTATTCTATCCGTTACCCTAGCATCCCGTAACACAAGCCTTATAGTGCTTACGTTGGGGCTAGGCTAATTGGTGTTTGTTGGAAATATTTATTTATTTATATACAAATATAATTTTAAAGCAAGCGCACACTGAGCCAGTAATAGCGGCCACTAAATTCTCCAGTGGTTTATAAGTGCGTAACAGACAGATACGGTGCCTTTATTTAATTAGTTTCATCTTCATCATCAGCCTATTGATGTCCCCGTTGCTGAGGCACAGGCTTTCCCTATGAATGGAATAGGGAGATTGGGCCATGACCCGCCACGCGGGCCCAGTGGGGATTGGCGGGTGCTAACGACTGCAGATGCAGCCGGGACCAACGGCTTAACGTGCCTTCCGAAGCACCGAGGAACTCGAGACAGAACTTTTTGGTCACCCATCCAATGACCGGCTATTGCGAAAGTTGCTTAACTTCAAGCATCACAGCCGAACGCGCTAACCACCTGCGCCATCGAGTTCCTCATTAATTCAGTAGTTTACTCGACGGTATTTTTATTTCCAGGCTTAGAGATTTGGGGCACATTCAGTCGCCAGAACGGCCAGCCGCGCATGGAAATGACTTTCACCAACAAAGCTATGCAAGCGATGAGCGGATTCGCCATACAGCTCAACAAGAACAGGTCAGATAACAGTTTTAATTTTGATAAAACAAAAATATCAACTTTTTTAACATGTACCAGAATGAAATTGAACATGCACCGTCGCTAGCCGAACGAGTTTATTTTTTCTACGAATAAAGAATCTTTTAAATATAATTATTACGCCCTCACTCAATATCGAAGATGTATTTTTGAAGTTTATTTAAAGTTTATCATCAAGCAAAAACTTGGCTATTCGCCATCGTTTCTTGCACAAAAAAAAATACAAAGCAAATGCAATGTAATTTTTTTTATGCTTTAAACTTTTAATATCGCAGCTGTACCCAGAAACTCCAAACTAATTTGATTCTCAATCAAGTCACGTGTTGTTTCATTGTATTGTTGTCGCAGTCACAGCATCCACGTTAGTGAAACTTTAAAGTTATTTGAATTCTTGAAATTATTTTCAATAATTTGAAGAACAAAACGGTATTATTACGCATGTGGTCAAACTACTTTTTTTACAGTTTGGAGGTTTCGGGCCCATTGAATTAGAATCTCAAATAATTTCCAATCAAAACTGCCTAAAACAGTCTTAAAATTACTGAATTTATATTAATTTAAAAACCATGCCAAAAGCTCACTGGAGGTATGTCATTCAGTTTTATACAACTCGTGTTAAATTTAACGTAATCATACCGTTTTGTTCGCCAGCTCCTCATGTATATCCGTATAAATACACTTATATATGTATCAGTATATGTATTCTGTCCGCTAATCTAGTATATCATAACACAAGCCTACAGTGCTAACTTTGGGGCTAGGTCTAATTACCTAACTGGTGTGAGTGTTAGAAATATTTATTTATTTATCAGTTTCGGCGTATACCCCGTGGGAGGATTATCCGTGGGAGCTTTACCGGCCGGGGGCAGCGCCGACGCGACTCTAGCGCTGGCCACCACCGGGCCCGTGCAACGTATGGAGCCCCTCAACAACCTGCAGGTATATATCATACGATCCTATAATCATAGCTCACTATAGGGGCAGCGCCGACGCGACTCTAGCGCTGGCCACCACCGGGCCCGTGCAACGTATGGAGCCCCTCAACAACCTGCAGGTATATATCATACGATCCTATAATCATAGCTCACTATAGGGGCAGCGCCGACGCGACTCTAGCGCTGGCCACCACCGGGCCCGTGCAACGTATGGAGCCCCTCAACAACCTGCAGGTATATATCATACGATCCTATAATCATAGCTCACTATAGGGGCAGCGCCGACGCGACTCTAGCGCTGGCCACCACCGGGCCCGTGCAACGTATGGAGCCCCTCAACAACCTGCAGGTATATATCATACGATCCTATAATCATAGCTCACTATAGGGGCAGCGCCGACGCGACTCTAGCGCTGGCCACCACCGGGCCCGTGCAACGTATGGAGCCCCTCAACAACCTGCAGGTATATATCATACGATCCTATAATCATAGCTCACTATAGGGGCAGCGCCGACGCGACTCTAGCGCTGGCCACCACCGGGCCCGTGCAACGTATGGAGCCCCTCAACAACCTGCAGGTATATATCATACGATCCTATAATCATAGCTCACTATAGGGGCAGCGCCGACGCGACTCTAGCGCTGGCCACCACCGGGCCCGTGCAACGTATGGAGCCCCTCAATACCCTGCAGGTATTTATTATACGATCCTAGGCCCCGTATTAGAAGATCAATTGTCAAAGTTAGGAAAAGAGATTATCATACCCTTACGCTAATCCCACAAGGTTGAAAGTTGTTTGTTCCAATAAAGTATTGGAATAGCCAAGTTACCAGCTATTTTTATATCAAATATAGTATTTTCGAAGTTGTTACCTCTAGAAATATAGTAGATGGCAAAAAAATAAAAAATATAGTCTGGTTAAAATATTTACCTTATTTTTGAAATGAATATATTTTTGCTGTCTTGCCTTAAAATAGATTTTTTTATTTTTAAGAAGGATTTAACTGGTTAAAGTCTGCTTTAAGTACTATATAGTAGTTTCGCTTACTATATATTTTTTATGAAATATCGTATTTGATCCTCCAATATAGTAGGAAACCATATAGTAGGATTGCAACCCTGCCTGTTCCCCAGTTGTGGGGACATTAACAGGTTAATACTAACAAAGTACTAATAAATTTTCATCAACAGGTGGCGATTAAGAACAACGTGGACGTATTTTACTTCGCGTGTCTGATGCCAGCGCATATCCTTTTCACTGAAGACGGACAGCTGGACAAACGCGTATTCCTTACTACATGGAAGGAAATCCCTGCAGCTAACGAAGTACAACATTCCCTATCAGGAGTTTCCGGCACAGCCGACTCCGTAGCCCACAAGATGACTCTAAACAACATATTTACCATCGCCAAAAGAAATGTAGAAGGCCAAGACATGCTCTACCAGTCTCTGAAACTCACCAACAATATATGGGTCTTACTAGAACTCAAACTACAACCTGGCAACCCAGAAGCCACGTTAAGTTTGAAATCTCGAACAGTTGAAGTCGCCACTTGCATATTCCAAGCGTACGAATCTATCATCAAATCGTAATCTCGTCCTGATCAAGAATAAAATTATGTATATGTTGAAAAGTATTGTTATGTAAGTTATGTATCGAAGACTTTATACTATTGTAAATTCCATGTTAGATAAGTTCGAGTCTATGAATGATTAGAGGATTTGAGTAGGAGCTGAGTGCAAGTTTTGAGGTCGGTCACTGATCCTATTATTAAATTAAATCATGCTATATAAGAGTTAATAAATATTATGTTATCTTACAACTTAACATCGTGTTATTATTTCAATGGAAAAAAACTATTAAAAGTAGTGAAATCTCAACAGTTTTATCGTTGGTTCATCATGATCACAGCCTATAAGGCCCCGTATAAAAATTCGTTTGGGGGCCCTTAGGAAGGGTAAAGATTTCTCACAAAAGAAAAAATGCATAAAATTAAAAGAAATATTTATTCATCGTCACTCGTTAGTCATCTTCTGTCTGTCACATTTTCCAAAAATTTTATACAAACAATTCAAATTGAATATACACTCTCCTTACCTTATTTTCGGCACTGATTTATTAAATCATTTATAGCTGAATATGATGACTTTAGTTTTTCTAAAGTTTCTGCCTCCACGGACAATAGTGACTCCGTGGTTTATCTACGTATCGCATGTACATCGATTATTCTGCGCTTCCCGTAAATAACTTAAACGGGGAAATACCGCAGCCCGCGATTACCGATGTAGGGTGTTGCCAAAGCACGCTTCACGTGGTTTTCCGCGTTTCTTTTGAAAAGAAATTACTTTTATTTTCTTTTGTTCTTTCCGAAAAAAAAAATTTGGGAAGTTTTTATTAATTTTTGCTTAAGCCCGTTGGGGGCCCCGTATAATTGATACGACTGATACGGCGGTAGCTACGCCACTGGTTCCCACTGCTGGGGCTCAGGCCTTCTCTATGGATGGAAAAGGGGGGGTGGGCCTTAACTCACCATGCGGGCCCAAGCGGATTGGTGGGTGCTAATGACTGCAAATGCAGCTGGGATCAACGACTTAACGTGCGTCCAACTAGTCCAGGAATTTTAGCACCAAAAATCGGTCCGCTCTGCATAAAATCCTTCTACGTGATTTTTTGATTGGATTATATCAGAGGGTGCCCCCTAAGTATAAAACCGAGTTTCTGTCGCCCGAAACTGCGAGCGTTAGCCGCCATCTTGGAAACCGTTTTTTTGCATAATATCTCGGAAACGGTAAGTTTTACGTTTAAAACCGAAGAGATCTTTTTTGTAGAGAACAAAATTTCCCATCTTTTTTATACCAAACTTTTCCCCTTATTGTTGATATTTTCCGATATATTGAAGTAAAAAAACCAATTTTTTTGTTTTTGTAAAGTATCTCAATAATTTTCAGAGTTACGAAAAAAATGTTTGAATTAAAGTTGGAGAGCATGAAATTTTCTACAAATTTTGTATAAAAGTTTTTCTTGTAAAATTGCTGAGTTCCAGCTGAATAAAAATTGTCACCTGGAATCGAAAATCAGCGATGAGCGGTAATACGGTAAAAAAAAAAAATAAAAAAAAAATAAATAAAAAAGTATAATCGAAAAATTTTATCATGAAGACGGTAACGATTTTATTTATCGTGAAAAGGAGGGAAATGAAAGATTAAAAAGGAAATTTTGCACAATAAAAATATTTTAACGAATTATTGGAAAAAGGAATGAAAATTTATTCATGTATCCAAATTCATTATCATTTGCGCGATATAAGTCGCTGTCTACAAATCAGGATCGCAGAATATTAATTTAATAAATTGTATTTGATAAATTTTATTCGTCGATGTTAGATTTATAAAATTTTTCGCTGTTTACAACCGGAAGGGCGATTTTGGAAGGTTTGCGAATTTTCTTCTTCCAAGTCCATGTTACCTGCATCAGAAGAATGTATGAGAGATTCATTCGGTGTATCCTCCTCGTCGCTGTCGTCCGCGGCCGGAGTTGAGTTATCACATGTTTGGCCAATAATAATAACAATACTTTACGCGGAGACATCGAATTTACTTATACTTTTTGTTTGCATGCGAGAGTAACGTATTGCCACTTACCGCTGATTTTCATGATCTTTTATTGCGCTAGAACTCAGCAACTAATCATTTTGCAAGAAAAAGTTTTATACAAAATTTGTAGAAAATTTCATGCTCTCCAACTTTAATTCAAACATTTTTTTCGTAACTCTGAAAATTATTGAGATACTTTACAAAAACAAAAAATTTGGTTTTTTTACTTCAATATATCGGAAAATATCAACAATAGGGGGAAAAGTTTGGTATAAAAAAGATGGGAAATTTTGTTCTCTACAAAAAAGATCTCTTCGGTTTTAAACGTAAAACTTACCGTTTCCGAGATATTATGCAAAAAAACGGTTTCCAAGATGGCGGCTAACGCTCGCAGTTTCGGGCGACAGAAACTCGGTTTTATACTTGGGAGCACCCTCCGACATAATCCAATCGAAAAATAACGTAGAAGGATTTTATGCAGAGCTGACATCTAAAAATCTTGGACTAAACGTCCGAAGCACGCAGTAGCTCAATATAAAAAAAAATGTGTGCACGGACCACATATCTGAAGTGAAACTTATTTTCTTAAATAACCTAACATCGGACGGTGCATAAGGCATAGGGGAATGGAGCAGCGTACGCATCACTCAATTATATATATTGTCGCGTGACGCATTTTCGTTTCATCTTCTCCATAGGATTTTACCATATTTACACCCTGTTCGAAAGAATACCTTCAATAAAAACATAATAATTATGAAACAATTATGGATACCTGTGACAGACAACACAGTGGACCGCGCTCGACTTTTGGCTGTGTCTGAGAAGGAATCAGGTTTTTGGTTGCATGCATACCCTTCTTCGAATATCGGTACGTGTTTGTATAATTGCGCCCTTTCAATGTCAATTGCAATTCGTTTGGGGGTCAAAACAAATGAACCACATCGTTGCCGCTGTGGAGAACGAGTAAATGAAAGGGGACATCACGGCTTGTCATGTCAGAGGAGTGCCGGGCGTTACTGTTGGTATACCTGCAGTTTTGGAGCCATCTGGGGTATTGCGTTCGGATGGCAGACGACCAGATGGTATGTCACTTATGCCTTGGAGTATGGGAAGGTGTCTGGTTTGGGATGCAACATGCGTTGATACTTTCGCCGCGTGTCACATTGATGCGACCTCAGTTGAACCCTGTGCAGCTGCTATAACAGCTGAGTGTAACAAAAGGCGCAAGTACCGGGATTGGGGGGAGACATATTTTTTCCTGCCTTTTGCTGTAGAGACAATGGGTCCTTGGGGCCCTGCTGCAAAAGTATTTCTTAAGGACATGACTGCTCGCCTGTGCGAGGCTACGGGGGACCCAAGATCTGGTAGCTTTTTTGCTCAAAGAATTATTTAGGCGATACAGCGAGGCAACGCTGCCAGTCTTCTGGGGACCGTGCCCCGCACAGGCGAACTCAATGAAATATTTAATTTAATAATTGTTGTTTTACCTTTTGTTGGCATTTATATATCAAAGGTACTGGGAATGTAATAAAAAACATAACAAACTGGAATAAAAGAAAAAATAATTATGCACGTTTAAGTGAGTCCGGTTTTTTGAAGCGCGTAATGAACGCGCGTGTTAGCGCGTATGTCGAAACGACCGTATACGCGCAGAAAAATACGCTAATCTGAACCCACCCATAGACGAAGCGGGGTTTTTTTTATTTACTCGAACGCGGCAGAATTACATAACGGAACCTAGCACCTTGTGTAGTACTCCCACCATACATAGCCCTCTATGTTGCGACGAACGTTTTGGTCGAGTCCAAATCGTCAGTCTTTTGAAAACTGGAAGTTTCACGAAACGTTTCTAAGTGCCTACTATTATGTTTGTATAATAGAATCATATTTTCTTCATATTTATGGACTTGATTATCCAAAAAGAAACACAAAGTTATTAAGAAACAATTCGTATAATCAATTTCATTCTCTTTTTACATGGTCCAACCTGTCTTACGAATTAGGTCTTCTATATATACAATAGCGTAAAACAGAATCCATTTGTTTCAAACTATAAAATAATACGGAAATTCATTTCGCCATTCGGAAACATCATAAAACTACTTTTGTAATAAAAAACGGAAAAATCAGGAATTCATGAAACAATTTAAAAACATATCAGAACAAAGAGATTGGTAAATTAATATTCGTGGTAGTTAAAAAAACAACTCCCAAGATAACAAAGGAAGTTAGCATAAAAAATCATTCAAAATCAAATTACAAATATTTCATGAACCATAAAAATTACTAGAAATGGTATGATTATAATAATAATCAAGATATATGTTACAATTAACAACAAATATTTCATGAATCTGTATTATGACAACATTTTATAACACAATGTAACAGTGGATCAAACATTTCAAAACCTAAGTACAATATGCATGCGAAATTTCAGTTTTTGAAGAAACTTTAAATTTTTTATGGGGTTTTAATTAAATTATTTGCCGCATACTGTACACGTAAGGCATCATTCTTTGGAATAAGAACCCAAAAAAATTTAATAAATAAAAAAGTTTTAAAAATATGAGAAGGAAAAATAAATCATTTAAAATAAATTACATGAATACGAATTACAAATAACGATAAAATGTCAAATACATAAAAAATCTTACAACGCATTAGAATGTCATTTTATTCTATTATTTACATATAAAAATTTTACCTTCGCCTTTGTACGTGATATTGACATTTACACCAATAATATTTTTCTATTGTTCCATTCGAAGCTGATCGATTTTTTAAAGAAATATTAATTATAGTACATTCAGTACAAAGGCCTAGTTGGTTTCATGCACTTCTGAACCTTAATACAATAAAAATCCATTGCAAATATCTCATCTCAAATATTAAATTACATTAAAAATATATACAACTCCATTCAAAATGACAATTCAGAATAATAAATCTATAAGTATATAAAATTACAATACTCCATTGAAAAAAATCACCAATTAAAAAAATCTATTAAAAATTCATTCATGCACAACAATAAAAATTTATAAAATAACATTTGATTAATCTATTTTCACCAAGAACTCTTCTACTTCCAGTTTCTGTCGCATAATAGCGGATAGCACCACCTCAGTACTGCACACTACATTGAGAGTTTTCTCCGATTGTAGAAGATAGTAAACGAGATGTAGGTCGTTGGGCACTGTTAGTACTAGATAACTGTACGGTTTCTGGTTATGCATTTCTTGTATGGAAACGTAGGAGCGACGGTTCTTTTCGACTTTACCACCGCACAGTTCTATCATTTCTGTGAGCGCGGACCGTGAAGGTTTCACGCAGGGCGTGAGGAAGAACGTTATCCCATCGAACAGTCTCTTTCTCTGTTCTCCGGAGAGTAATACTTCAGATATGTCGCAGTTGAACATTTTGTTGAAAGCTTCGTCGCGTAACTCGTGTTTAGCCTCATCTGCGAACTTGTTTAGCCTCTGGCTGTCTATTAGCCATTCTGTGGAGACTAAATGCTTTGCGGTCACTAAACACGCTACCAACTTGCTGGTTCTAACGAGTTTTTCCATTACGAGGTGCGTCGCTTCCGCTGCGGATGTAACGACTAACCCGCCCAGTTGTCTGTTGATAATAATAATGAATTATCATATTTTCATTTCAAGCAGCACTGCTAGGTATTTTAGAGGAAAGTTTTTTTTCTACTCAAATTCAACTCGGTCCAGGTATCGGGCTGGAATCGAACCAGCGTCCTTCGCTATCTGAGCGAATGCACTCACTACTGTGCTACCGAGACTATATATATATATATATATATATAGGGTGCAAGGCAGAGCCTCTTCACAATGTCATATATTTGAGAAAGTATCATAAATTCAAGAGAAAAAGATTGTGATGGTCTGTAAATAAATAATAATGTAAACAGACAATCATAATGTTTCTATGAATCATACTACAAACAGCGTCAAATTGGATACATTTATATGACTTTAAGGTTAAAGTCGACTCATATTTACATGTAGACCAAAAAACAGACAATCATAATGCTTCCATGAATCATACTACAAACAGCGTCAAACTGGATACCTTGGTTACCTTTACTATACCGAATCAAAAAGCGATCTAATGTCAAACACGCCATTAATACTTTTCGGTTGGGTAATACTTAGTTTGAATTGAGTGTGTCCGTTGCCATGGTTACCTGACTATAGCCGCTAGCCGGGCGTGATCAGCCTTCGGTACTGCTGATAGTAAGACCCTCGGCGCCAGATGTAATGGCGGCGGTGGTGGTGGCGGGGCATTATGCAGGTTGGTAGGTAGAGGTGGCGCGGGTGAGAGCCGCGGGCGTTTCGCACGCCGCGGTGCGGACGCGGCGCTGCGTTTCGCACGCTCGTTCGATTCTTGAGTTATGTTTATGGGCATCTTCCAAGCGTCTGTGGGAGGGCGAAAAAAGGAGAATGTTCTTAGGGTGTACAGCCACCGAGAGATGCAAATATAAAAAAATAAAAATATTTTATTATAGTTTTTGTTAGGCTTCAAGGCAGCGTCATCTCTTCGCATTGTTGGTAACAATTGTAAAGTAAAAAAAAGTTAAACGCTTAAAACTATAAATAAATATATTTATGTTATTAGATATTACTAACTTTTCAAAATTAATGGAGGTTGTGAAGTTAAATGTATTTATCCCTATTTCACTTCACAATTTAATGAAAAGTATATGCAATATTCGCCAATGAAAAAATAAAAAACAGCAAATGATTTTGCTGCAATAACTTAATCAATCAAATAATTATCATTATTAAAAGACAAAATAATTTTAAGCAAAACTTGGAAAAAACTACCTTTTTTTTAATTTTAGCTAATGGCACGTCAAAATACTACTTAAATTATATGAATATCTTACTCATCAAATGCGACACCAGACTGTAGTCCATCCTGAACGGACTGGTTAAGTTAAATTGTTGGTATTTGGCGTTTTCAATCTGAAACAAAATTAATTAATTAATAGACGTTTCGTTCCAAAAGGTGACTTCCGATTTTTTAGGATTTCTAACAATTGTAACTACTTTGGAAACATCCCGTGTTTTTAGAATTCTTTTTTTTATTTTATTTAAAAATATAATGGCAGCCCATAACTTTTGTAAGGGCGATCATGTTATATTTCCACCGTACTACTAGTGCCGAGTTGTGCAAAAAGCTCGCCGTACTATTAAGGGCATTCATGTTGTGGACAGCCGTATCTAAGGCGCACTCAGGTGACATAGCTGCTCTTCACAAGGTCTTATCCAAGCTTTAGTTTTTACTTAGAAAGACCAAGATTCGGATACATAACACAGTGATTAGATCAATCTTGATGTACTTGGCTTGGACGCTGACACTTAGAGAGGAAAAGAAGCTGTTTGTCGCCGAGACAAAGTTTCTGCGGAAGATCCTGAGGCCAGCTCATACAGAGGATGACAGCTGGAGAGCACGGAAGAATATCGAGCTGGAGAATCTAGTGTCCGAGCCTAACATCATAGGAGAAAATAAAGCGGGTAGACTTCGCTGGCTCGGACATGTAGAAAGAGAGAATAGGAGAAGATCAGACTGTGAAAAGAGCGTATTTGGGGCGACCGATAGGACGACGACCAGTTGGACGTCCCAGATACCGGTGGAGCGATGAGGTGCAGAAGGACTAGCAGTCTTTGGATGCCGATTGCTGGCGGGTGTCGGAGGCCAAGATCCACTTTGGATCGTATCGGATAAGCTGGGTACAGAGAATCAAATGAGGAAGTATTCGGACATGTTAAAAAACCTAGACAATTTATGAAGACCAACAAGAGAAGAAAAATAGCCTTTCTTGGTCCTATTTAAGATATGAGCGCTATCACCTTCAAACTATAATGATGGGAAAGGTAGAGGGAATAGGACGCGTCGGAAGAAGTTGTGTTTCCGAAACATCAGAAAATGGACTGGTTTCGCCAGCTTGGAAGAACTGTTTGGTCTGGCACGTGACAAACACAAATACGCAGAGCTGAATGAAATACCTTCAGTAGTGGGAAAGCACCGAAAGATGACTTACTTGTGACAGAGCGCTCATGTTGCCTAGCAACAGGTCGGTGAGCCACGCGGCCGTCACCACGGGGATTCCCCACTCGCGGGCGCGTCGGTACTTGTTGCCCTCCGCTCGTTTGCAGATGAGTACGGTGTTGTCGCGAGTCATGTATGGCGTCAACTGTAAATAAAACAAAACGAGTTTTACGGGTTATATGCACTGAATTTATTTATCTGACGTTTCGCAGCCTTTTCTCGAATGCGTCTTCAGAAATAAAAAAAGAAAAAGGTTTTATTTAATAAGTGCGCGTGAAAACCTAAGAAACAAGTATGTAATTTTTTTCTATATGGCTTCGCACGGTTTGTGCATTTAGCCAATGTCAAGTGAAAAATGTTTACATATTCTATAGCTCTCGTGGTCAAAATATTAGTCAAGTCAATCCCCCTTTCCCTATGTTTCAGTAAATGTGTGGGGATTTACTGGAACCTCCCCGTGGACTTCTTGAGGGAACGTCGAAAGACACTTTCCGCTATTTTGTTTCACTTGCCAACACTTGTGCATGTTTCCGAACACTTAGTGGTTAATAATCCACCATTATTAGACACTAACATCCGCCACAACACAATTTTTAACAAGAAAAACAAAACTGCTAAAGTGACGCTTCCCGATCCCGCCAAAAAGTCCAAGTATGTAAATAGAACCTTTTATTTTATTTGGGCTGCTGACATTATACCTACATTTATATTTCTTTTCATAGGTGTTGCGCACTATCAAAAGAGCATAAGGTTAAATTCCACTAAATTGCATAGCAATATATAAATTTTCTGTTTTTATCTAATATATTAGTATCTGTTCCGATTTATCATTGAGCTGTATTGAGTGAATGCCAAGAACCGCGGCTGAAAATATGCTATAGTCAAGTGCTTTTATTTGCGACCCATTCCCTCGAAATGCGGTTTGAATATTCGCATTGCAATACAGACGAAATCTCCTGTACCCATAGCACAAACGCATATAGAATTCGAACAGTTCGCGAGAGTGAAATGTCATTGACAAATTTTGTATGAAATCTTGAACAGCAGCGCCAAAACGGACGTAACGAGAACTAAATATCAGTACATATTTGATGTATAAAATAGATCGAATTCAACTATTCGAATTCGATAACGGTCCGTGCTAAGGGCACTGATCAATATAGCGGTCAAATGTCATAAACACAAATCTGTTCGAATTAAATAATAATATTCTTTATTGTAATATACCATACAAGACAAAATTAAAAACATGATAGACAGAAGTACACAATATAGGCGGCCTTATTGTAGTATATAGAAGAGGTGTAATTCAATCGCGTACACAAAAGTTACATATAGGACAGCACAAAGAAGGAATAACATTTCTGAATATAAACCTCTTTGTTAAATCCTCATTTCGTTTTCTTTTTACTTTTTAATAGGTATTTGACAGTATTAAAAATAAAGTGCCAATTGTTAGCATCTGTGTTTAGAATGAATAATGGCAGGGGTTTTTACTATTTTTACAAAAATATATTCATAATTTTACTAAAAACCCACGAAAAAGATAATATAGTTTTCTTATCTATTGTCACGTGATCCAAAACGCTTGGGATTGGCGGAGCCTGAAATGACGTCATACACAAGTAAACTTCCGGTTAAAGTGACATTACATTGTATCGTTTGACGTTTTAATAACAGTCGTGTGACGTCACACACTAGTAACACGCCATATTGTCCAGAGAAACGTTTTCGCGGCAACTTGAAAATGGAGTTTTTGATTTGGTTATTCTTACTGAAATACACAACAGAATGATGAATATCCAATTTTTACGGACTCCACAAACATTATCCAATAACGTGAGATCGTTTTCTAAAACTTGTCAAATACCCTATTGTGTCACTAACCTTAGCACCGATGTGTTCTATACAAAACGTGATTCTATCCCTCTCCTCATCCCGCCAACCGGATATGGCGGCGCGATGGTGTTTGGCGGGTCGATCTCTGGCAGCGTACATACTTGGCAGATGCAAAGCTTGCCAAGGGGGAGCGACGCCGCGACGCAACATGGCGTCGGACAGCCAGTACGCTGTCACGCAACGTTTCGCGTCACGGAGGGCCTGAGTTTACGAAACAAACAAGAATAATAATTTATTGGAACTACTTTACATGTTGGTACGTGATAAACTGGAAAAGGTTACCCTGAAGATCAAATGATAGTGCTCTCCCTACTATAATTACATGTACAAAGTAATTCATATTGGTTTAAACTTTCATGGTCACTAACATTATTGCTATTAACGGGATTGTTACCATGTACCTTGTTTTTTATGAGTCTCCGATAATTCAACTATTATTATATCCGGCATCCACTTCGCCGCCACGTCGCTGTATGGCTTCAGCCCATCGAGACACGCGGTCAGCGCCCCAAGACTGCTAGTATTCTTAACATGAACTAAAGCAGATTTTTTTTCCTGCTTTAGTTAATGTTAATCAATCTAAAGTCAATAGATGCGTTAGTTACCTGCATGACTACGCCATGTTACCGAGTCTCACATAATACGTGCGTGACTTGAGCATAATATCCCGCTTCCGCTTCGCCTAAGATATCTCAAGTGTATGTATACGTGCCAAAGTTTCGACATGTAGGAGATGTTTGGTCAGGCAAGCATGTCAAATGTGTGGTTAAGGACTTTGGTTGCTTTACATTTGCCTAGATTTTTAAAGTGAAAACGTCTTATAACTAGGAGTTCGATGGCGCAAGTGGTAAGCGCGTTCGGCTGCGATCGTTGAAGTTAAGCAACTTTCGCAGTGGTCGGTCATTGGATGGGTGACCAAAAATTTAATATGTCTAGCTTCTTCGTGTTTCGGACGGCATGTTAAGCAATTGGTCCCGGCTGCATCTGCAGTCGTTAGCACCCACCAATCCGCACTGGGCCCGCTTGGTGGGTCATGGCCCATTCACCCTATTCCATCCATAGGGAAGGCCTATGCCCCAGCGTGGGGACATTAATAGGCTAATGATGAACGTCTTATAGGAGGGTACACTGCTTTGTTAAGTAACGCGTTACGGCGCCAGTCTGTCTGGCTTCGCGCTTTTTTTATATGTTAATAGATGTTTTAGTTACCTGCATAACTACGCCATGTTTCTGAGTCTCGCACAGTACGTGAGTGACTCTGGCACAATATCCGGCTTCCACTTCGCCGCCGCGTCGCTGTATGGCTTCAGCCCATCGGGACACGCGGTCAGTGCCCCAAGACTGCTGGTATTCCACCTGGTGATTGACGGTTTGTATGTCAAACGCGTGGTAAACAAGTTTATGGCCCGATTGGTGGAGAGAAAAGAAAAGAAAGACATCTGACTCTTGACTTGGGACGTAAACTGGCGAATGCGTTACGCGTTATGAAAAGTGTCACCGGTGACTATTCGGTAAACAATGAACAATTTAGGCACGCTTGACTTGGGGGGTAAACTGGCGAATGCGTTACGTGTTATGGGTTACGAAAAGTGTCACCGGTCACAGAGATCTATATACAGGATGTTACAGAAATACAAATAAAGATTGAAGGGCGTTGAAGTTCATCATATAAGGAGTCATCTCTAATTTTCTTAAAATATTAATTTTTTTTTTATAAAAAGTTAAAACCTAATGCAAATATTTTAAGAAAATTAGAGAAGACTCCTTATATGATGTACTTCAACGCCCTTCAAGCTTTATTTGTATTTTAGTAACACCCTGTATATACATACTGATGGAGCTAAAGAAGTTTCTCTTCAGTCGTGTGGTCATAAGCACACTCGCTTTTTTTTTATTTGGGCCAAGTGGTATTATGGTATAGCTTCCTGGAGGAGCTGGTGTGGCAAGACTGTGTTTTGTCTTGTATTTATTTTTCACTTTGAATATCATGTGAAACATTGTTATTATATTCGACAACAGTGAAAACATCGAATGACTGTTAACGAGGAAAATAATAAAGAAACTAAGTATCCTGAGGTACAAGCACAAGTTTTGTCAGCACCGTAATCGTATAGTAAAATTTTGTATGGAAGGAGCTAGTTCTTACGTCCGGTAGGGGTGCTGCTTAGTTATCAAAGTTACTTTGACGATGCGATACGATTACTGAGCTGTCAAAATTCGTGCTTGAGCCTTTCTATATCATTGGTAATATATTCGACAGCAGTGAGAACACGTAACAACTAAAAATAATTTATATATATTCGAGTCCCGTCTGCTGCCTGGTCCGCGTGGATTTTTTTCTTTAGATTTAAACATCGAACAGTTACATGCTTAAAAATAAAAATTTATACATAATTGCTATTTCTTCTTTCAAATGTTTAATACTTGTAAAGGTATTCATTTGACATTGTGGGTTACCTACCTTACCTTGCAGTTTATGAAAGGCTAGAAAGAATTCGACACGGCCGTCAGGGCCGCGGTAGCATAATGGTCACTGTGCATTCGCCCGGATAGCGAAGGGTGCGGGTTCGAGTCCCGTCTGCTGCCTGGTCCACGTGGATTTTTTTCTAGTAATATTTTCTTTATATTCAGACATCGAGCAGTTACATGCTTAAAAAAGTAAAAATTATAACTAAAAATAAGGAAAATAGTAAAGGAAAAAGCAAATAATTCTCTTTGAACTCACGATATGGAAGACGCATCCCAGTAGAAACAGATCTGGAGGTAGCTTCAGGTTGGGATTGTGTCCATAGAATTGTGCTCGAGGTGGAGGGGCTCTCACCGCACCCGCATATACTTTATTGCCGACTACGCCAGTCGCTGCAGGCTATAAAAAGATAAAAAATTAGTATTGTTTTTAGCTAGTATCTACACTTCCAGACATCTATCTGTACCCTTAGCACGAAAGGATAGCGGAGTGTGCGGGTTCAAGTCCCGTCTGCTTACCAGACCCCGTGGAATTTTTCTTTCGATCTTTCGATTTAAATTTTTTGTCAAAACTGTACATCGAATATTTTTTAAAGAATACTTGGGGTGTGATTTAGATTCGATACCAAAGCCAAAAATATAGTTTTTAGAATTATTGTCTGTATGTATGTCCGGGATAAACTCAAAAAGTACTGCATGGATTAACTTCAAATTTGGCATGAAAATTATTAAGGAGTCGGGTCAACATATAGAATATATATATCTATTATATAGGCTACATATTATCACGCTATCACCTACGGGGAACGAGCAGTGAACCTTTATTTCTAACTAACTCTACGCGTACGAAGTCGCGGGCGGCCTCTAGTTATTAAATAAAATAGTTCAATTACCTGATGCGCGTGGTGAGCGGGCCCGAGCAACAGTCGGGCAGGGGCGCGGACGGCGCCGCCCGCCGCGTGCGCTGCTGTCATCAACCTAACGTAATATCATCATCATTATCAGCCTATTAATGTCCCCACTGCTGGGGCACAGGCCTTCCCTATGGATGGAATAGGGAGATTCGGCCATGACCCAACACGCGGGCCCAGTGCGGATTGGCGGGTGCTAACGAATGTAGATGCAGTCGGGACCAACGGCTTAAGGTGTCTTCCTAAGCATGGAGGAACTCGAGATAGAAGATTTTTGGTCACTTATCCAATGGCCGTGCACTGCGAAAGTTGCTTAACTTCAACGATCGCAGCCGAACGCGCTAACCACCCGTGCCATCGAGCTCCTCTTAAATGACGTAATATGTATAAGTTAAATTCTTCCTTGTGGAAGGTAAAGGGCAATTAGGGCAAACAGCCTAAAGGTAATTCAATAGGGTATTTAAAAGTTTTAGAAAACGACCTCACTTCACGTCATTTGCTAATGTTTATGGTTATTCATCATTCTATTGTGTTTTTCAGTAAAAAAAAACTCAATGAAAAATTCCATTTTCAAATTGCCGCGAAAACGTTTCTCTGTACATTATGGCGTCTCACTGTAGACGAAACACGACTATCATTGAAACGTCAAACGATACAATGTAATGTCACATTGACCGCAAGCTTACTAGCGTTTGACGTCATTGTAGTCTTAGCCAATCCCAGCTGTCAGGGTCATGTGACCATAGAAAAAAAGGCATTTCTATTTAACGATTTTTTAGAAGAAAAAAATATTTTTTCTCTCAGAATAGTAAAATCGCTGCTAATATTCATATTAAATACAGATACCAGCAGTTGGTACTTTATTTTTCATACTTTCATGAAACATACCCTTTTGCCTTCGTGAGGGCATCAGATCAGACAGTCCTTAAGCACAGCAGTAGAAGTAGTACGAGTGTAGGAATAAGAATCTAATCCTTTGCTTTCAAAAATGTTTTTGTTAAAAGGATGAATCAAGGTATATTAATCGAATTGACTTTTTAAAATCGTCTTTGAATCGTATCATATTGGGCTCATAGACATAGATCGAAAAATTGTAATTTAGTGTCTGGGTTTGGTCACAGCCTGTGATCGGAAACAGCCTATGTATATTTCCCTTGTTCGAAATTCCGTTTTTATTGAATGTTGTGTTTCAATTGTTACATTACCTTAAAGTGCCGGCAGCGGAAGGTTCGTGTTCAGTGGGAGGCGCGGAACCTTGCAAGCGAATACTGAGCATGTTCGCGAGCGCAGTCTTCGTCTTATGATTCACTAGTAAAGCACCGCCTGCTCCTAATATGTAACAAAATGTAGAATCTGTAGAATTATATACTATTACGAGCTGTCCCAGCAAACTTCGTACCGCCATAAAAATAGGGGTTGGTGGTAGAAGGGTGAAAATTTATGTATTCTTTTGTGATGTTTCATTAAAAAATAAAAGAAAAATATTGCCAAAAAAAATTTAAGAGTGGACCCTTAACATTTAGGGCTATGAAAAATAGATGTTGTCCGATTCTCAGACCAACTGAATATGCATATAAAATTTCATGAAAAACTGTCTAGCCGTTTCGTAGTAGTTCAATTACGCATACCGTGACACGAAAATTTTATATATAAGATTTATCTACACCCATGCTTTAAAACCTCTATTAAAGAATCTAAAACAGTTAGCTTCTTGTCAACATTAAAACATCTAATTTTATAATAATAATAAAAAAACATCGAAACGGGTGTTATAATGTTGTACTAAATTTCATAATAACACTCCTACGTTTTTTGAATCCCTTCCGCACTAAAGGCTTACTCATCAGACAGCCACAATTTTTACTGCTCGATGCGTGGTATTATTAAGTTCAAAAAAGAACAATTGTCATTCACGCGCGTTTCACTACCACAGAGTCAAAACTTTTCATGAATTTTAAGTTCTTAGAACGCCCCATGGTTTCAGAATCTTTTATTCATATTATGGGTGTAGATAAAGTCTTGTATGCAACTGTTCATAATTAGGTAGTGATGTCGATTCTGACATTATTCTCTAAACCTAAACTTAAATTTGACAAAAGTGTAACTTTGTCATTCCCTATACAGAATGAAAGGGAGAGACTGCTGTTAAATTTAGTTTTAAGTTTAGAGAATCATGCCAGAATCGACACCATTGTACACTCATGTGATACTATTATCATCCTCGGCTTCGCTTCGTGTGATAAACCCACATTCGTGTTTTAATACCCCTCATTATACAACAGTTGCATAAATAACTATTATGTGAAATAAGTTATAACCGCTGCATAGAGATGAACGCGGCCATACTCAGTATTTACTCTCTCGTCAATTGAGGTGATGACGAACACGTGACGTCATGCGATATTTAAAATCAATATATCTATGTAATTGATTATGTAAAAAAAAGAAAAAACTTTTGTAGTATTATACTAATATTATTAATATAAATTAAGTTATACCGCTGCATATAACTTGTGTCGCGTTTTGAATTGCTGTAAGCTCACAAAAAAATTATGAATAAATAAATTACCAATTGAATTATGATGTAAAAAGAAGTGTGAGAGATTTTGCGGTGTATTATGTCATTGCATGGGTGTTAGTGTCATTTACAATTTAATTTTTATACTGCTATAATACTAGACAGAACAGCGTTTTTGCACACAAAAATTGACAAAACGATTTTAATGGTAAAATATTGCTACGGCTGCTCTCTTCCGGGTCACGGCCGTGTTGCTCTATGTACGATTGACATTAAAATGAACTTTGGCACGAAGTAATAGCCTAAGCCTGGATTTAAAAATTATTCATTATCAGCCTATTAAAATCCCCACTGCTTTAACACAGGCCTTCCCTATGGATGGAATAGGGAGATTGGGTCATGCCCCACCACGCGGGCCCGGTGCGGATTAAAGAGAGCTAACGACTGCAGATGCAGCCGGGACCAACAGCTTAACGTGCCTTCCGAAGCACGGAGGAGCTCGAGATAATAAGTTTTAGTCACCCATCCGATGACCGACCATTGCGAAAGTTGCTTTACTTCCACGATCGCAGGCCGAATGCGCTAACCACCTGCGCCGTCGAGCTCCTTAGTTGAATACAGAAGCTCTGCGTATTTGTCTTTGTCACGTGCCAGACCAAATAGTTCTTCCACGCTGGCGTGTTTCGGATCCACGACTTTTATTTATTTTCATACTTTACTAGTGGCCCGCCCTCGCTTCGCTTCGGGGTAGAATTGATAAAAATCCTTTCTTAGCGGATGCCTACATCATAACATCTACCTGCATGCCAAATTTCAGCCCGATCCGTCCAGTAGTTTGGGCTGTGCGTTGATAGATCACTATGATAGTCAGTCACTTTTGAGTTTTATATATATAGATTGCACAAATGAGTGTACAAGTGGCGAACTTAATGCCATTAGGCATTCTCTACCACCGGACTTTTCCTCCTTTCAGACGCGTTTTTTTCGCTGTAACGCCGAGCTCGCTATCCACCTGAGCGATCGAGCTACTCAATCTCCATTATGATTAATGGTATTGAATTTGAACATTCTTACCTGCTTGTTGGTCTTGCCCAGTGGGTGTGAGCAGAGCATCGACTTGTGGCTCCGCTATAGCAGCCCCCACCACGTGTTGAGTCACTCCCACTCCCACGCCCACCCCTGGGGCCACCTGATGTAGATAGCACAATGATTAACACTTGTTTAAAAGGACGGGAAAAATATAACGTAATATTAAAGTTTATAGTGCCGTTAAAATTTTATAATTAGCAGCGAGCAGTGCACTAATATTGCGCAGGTTCATTGGGTGACATTCCGTGTGCACCTACATCACCCTTCATTTTGTTTTCTAGACAATTAATTCATTTCATTTAGAGTGAAAGTAGCGCATGGTCTTGTGGCTCCGCTATAGCCGCCTCCACCACGTGTTGAGTCACCCCCACTCCCAAGCCCACCCCTGGGGCCTGATGTAGATATCACCATAGTTAAAGCTTATATGAGGGTAACATTCATTCATTTTCGAATAATGCAATTTTATAACGGTGTCTTTAATGAAGGTGTTTAGAGTCGTCACTAGTTGGCGCCACTTTAAAGTGAGATCTTTTGCAAGAAGTTTTTGGCGCGAATTAATCGAGCGTGCATTTCAAGCTATTACATCATTACGTCCTATTAGTTATATTATCATTAAGAATACAGTAATTTATATGCAGCTGCTGAAGCCGCGGTAGATAATAGTGTCACCTGTTTGACGGCTGCGTGATGGTGCGCCACGTGGTCGCGCTGTGCCTGCAGCTGCTGCAGCCGCTGGTACTGCTGCTGGCGTTGTAGCTGCAGCTGCTGCAGTTGCGCGTCGACAGCAGCACCGCCTACACCACCCGCACCAGCACCGACCCCGGCCCCACCCCCGCCCGCTGCGCTAGCCACCACTGCACCACCTACTGTACACATTAAGTATGACTAACGATCAACGAATTAGAAATACGAGATTCTGGACACATAATATTTAAGCATTTTAAGTTCAGACGGTCCCTAGCATACTAAAAATAAACGTGCTAAAGGTATTTAGCAAAAAGTTTTTACGCAGTTTTGAAGTGTGTTTTAAAAAATATATTATTATCGATCAACTTAACATATATTCTTGCTACAGACAGTTGAAACTTATAACACTAAGTGGGCCAACAGATGTGTCCGGAAGTGTAATATGGAATAAGAAATGCGCTGAAAATGATTCTACGCAAACTGCGATCAAATGGGCGGTGCGAAAAACTGCGGTCAATACGCCCGCCGATCATGGGATTGGTTGGGATTTCCGTTTAACATTATCTTACCCAATAAATGGATACACGAATTCAGTTGCAGATATTTGATTTGTCAAAGTATTTTGTTTTGTCTGTGTGCATGTCGCGTTAGGCCTTTGTTAGAGAGTACTTCTTTCATGTCATTTCTAATTTGTTGCTAATGCTATAGTGTCAAGTTCAAGCGTCAACCGTAACACGGTCAACTAATATTACATAATATATGTAACACGAACGAAAATAAGTGTAATATGAACACACTCATGCCATACCGAGCGGCAACCGAGTGTTAACGCTCGGCAAAGACTCAGTCCCGCATTGGGTCAGTCACGGCCTTTTCAATAAATGCAGCACCGCCGAGCTGCGCAAGAGCAGTTGAAGTGATGCTATATGAATGCACTGATTTGGCTCGACTCGGTAAAAGAGAATATGCATGATTATTTGTTATATTTTTATTTCATAGGTTACATTTCCTTTATATAGTAAAATGTCGAAATAATAGTGTAATGTGCCTAAAAATATTTAAAAATACTATGCCACTTTTTTGGAACTCTTGGTGTGGCTTGAAGTTTAAGAACTTTATTTTCTCAATAGTAAAAACATTCGCTATGACAATTTATACTAACTACTTAGATTAAAACAAAAAGGAAAGACACGGTACGCTCATACTAGCATCAAATAAAATATGATCCGACTCAACTACATAAGCAACTCTCACACACGCACACGTCTGTAAATAACATTCAATCGAGCGAGCGAGACAGAACCCTAAGCTTCAAAGCAGCGCGAGTGAAACGGCGAGTCCGCTTAAGAGTCCGCACGGCTGAGCTGTATTGTTGTCCCTTTCTTGATAACAAAATGGCGATGATGTAAATAACATTCACGATAAACCGTGATTTTTGAGAAAAAAATGATTTTACAGTTTTACGAATGAGAAGTGTTGCCGAGGCATTTGCCATTTGATTTTGAACTGTTTGTGTTCGTTATAAAAGCAACAAAGGCATTTTTTTATCTTCATAACACAGAATATACGTAATATTGTTAAATTAAGTGCACATGCAGCGTGTTTGAATGTCTAATTGTGACTAAAACTAATTGTGGTCATGCACCACAATTTGAGCGGATTACTTTTGAGCCGCGAGTGCCGTCTCTTCCCCTTTTGTATTAATCTAAGATAGCAACCTAACAACAAAACAAACAAGGATTAGAAGGTTAGGTGCACGCGCACTACTCACTCGCACTAGGTCTCGTTGACTTTGACACATCCTGTGAACATGGCGCTTTTTCGTTGATTTGATGTTATGTATCTTTACGTCACAACCGCTCTGTCTCGTTTCAGGTATTTGAATTTTCCATAAGTTCTTTGCACTATTTAATTGCTAGTTCAATAAGAAGTATTATAAAAAAGGGAAAATTTAAAAGTAATTCAGGTTATATACAAAACATGAGCCTTATTTGAATTACATGCATGTTCCCTATGCTCGGTCTAGGCTTGTCTTTACCGTGTCCGTGCTATGGCCGAAGCTCGGTTCAGACCCGACAAGGTCTAACATGCGTGAGTCAACTGAACTAATAAATAATAATAAAGTAATACCGAAATTGTAAAAAATCTGCAACTGACTGACCTTTGTTTTGCTCGTTCGAGTTACTTTAGTTTACTTTTTTCAATCGCGTATTTAAAATTGGGACTTCGGCTACGCCCCCATTCGCCCTGCTAGCCACCACAGCGCCTACTGTACAGATTAAGCCAAATAGTAAAATCGGCAACAGGTTATACGGAAAATAAAACACGGAGTCTGTAAAGGGCCCAAAACCTCAAGAATAATATTTAGTGAATTAAAACGCGCTGTACCTATAACTTTTTAAAATTTGAAAAAAAAAAGGTATTTGACTTTTAGATTTATTTAGAACTAGGATTTTTCTTGGCTTTGCACGGTCGTCACAGCAGACGATAAAATATAGCCTTTGTCACTTAGGAATAATCTTAATATATATAAATCTCGTGTCACAATGTTTGTCCTCAATGGACTCCTAAACCACTGAACCGATTATAATAAAATTCGCACACCATGTGCAGTTCGATCCAACTTGAGAGATAGGATAGTTTAAATCTCAAATTATAGTCGCAATTTTAATTTATTGCAAATTATTACTTTTGGGCGGTACGAAGTTCGCCGAGTCAGCTAGTATAATATAGGTTTCTAATGGTGAAAGAATTTAGTCCAGTAGTTTCTGATATTATTCGTTACAACCTTCCAAAAATACATATATTTCCTATACCTAAGTATAGATTTGGAAAGCTAATTTTATTTATCTGTGGTCCCCTGTAAGATGGAGGTTAATTTAACGGTGTGCTCTAATTCGATCGGAAAATACGTATTCTCTATATTTCTTAATTATAACTTAGTTAAATACACCACTAAAATAGTATTATATATGCCTTCAAATAAAAATTTCAAGGGAATATAAATAGTGTCTTTGAAATATTAGCCGTACCAGTATTAATACTAGTATTATGTTAATGCGAAATTATCAAACCTTGCAACTTTGTATATTCGAAAAGTAACAAATGCGGGCTGTCGGTTACTTTGGCATTACAGTAGAAAGTATTACCCTTACACGATAATAATTAGACAATAAGCTATTCTAACAAATTCAACTACTTTTATTAAGTAGACAAAAAAAAAAAGAAAAAAATATGTGTCTCACTCTCAATCCCCTGCAGATCCATTCAATACTACGGCTCGATATAAAATCGACGACGATTCTCTCAATGCGCCGAGTGAAGTCGTATGATAATAGAATATAATATCAGGTCGCGATTTAACTACACAGAACTCGCTACGACACGATGCGGGGAAGGATAGGTAACTGAATTATTGAACGTACAGTTTAGAACAAAGCTAGATAACGCATTGAAATTATAATTCAGATAAAAACCGTCACGAGTCCTATTACTATGTATGGAAGTTATAATTTTAAATTTCGAAACTTGTGAACGATGAACGGTATTCGCTCGCACAGTGTAGCGAAGGGAACGAAATATTTAATATACTAGTTAGTGCCCCGATATCGTCTGCGTGTCGTCGTCTTGCATTTTGATTTAATAATCAAATATCAATATCATATCAATATAATTAATTTACCTTTTTTCAGTTTAGTACTATTCTAAGCAATTATGAAAGTCGAAAAGCTATGCTATATATTTTTTATTTTGCTTTTGAAAAAATATTATATTATTATTAATGTCCGTATGGCTAGATGGCTTGATTATGAATAGAAGTACAAAAGGAGAATATGCTAGAAAATGCTAAGTCTGCTGTCCATTCAGACGGCACAACAACTTTGTATATGTTAATATTGTGATGACGTAAATATGAATAGTTCATTGCCGTAGTGGGTTCTGTGGGAGAGGTAGGGCAAAGCGGATTTCACGCTCATATTATGGTGTGTTCATATTCTGGCATGAATGTACAAGGGTGTCGCCAGTTTATGACTGCTTGCACTTTGGTCGCTTTGCGGCTAACTACATTAGATCTCTAGGAGGGGGGGGGGGGGAATGGATTTATATCCATATCAATTCCATATTATATTTTAAAAATGCGAAAGTGTATCTAGCCGTCTGTTACACATGATTAGATTAAATAAGTAGTTTGAGTCCCGGAAAAGGATAAAGGATAGTATGTCCTTTACCGAGACTCAAACGGTAAAGTACATAGACGCGGTAGTATAATGGTCAGTACATTCGCCCGGATAGCGAAGGGTGCGGTTTCGAGACCCGTCTGTTGCCTGGACCGCGTGGATTTTTTTTCTTGTAAAATTTTCTTTAGATTTAAGCGTCTAGCAGTTAAATGCTTTATAAATAAAAAAATAGGACATACGAGTTTTTATTTCAGATATCATGCTCTAGGGGGGTGAAAAGGGGGATTGGAAGTTAATTTTCCTTACATTTCTAGTAGTTTTATGCTTAAAAAGAAATATAACTACTGATGATATGCAAACGACTAGTGGTGTGCATGAAAACCTAATCTATATGTATACAAATAAGAAAATGGTAGGAAAGTCAAAACTGTACATTGAATATTTTTTTAAAATAATACTTGGGGTAGAGTGTCTGATCTGCAATAGATATCTAAGCCAAAAATATAGTATTTAGAATTTGTCTGTTTGTCTGTAAGTATGTCCGGGATAAACTCCAAAAGTACTGCATGGATTTACTTCAAATTTGGCACGAATATTATTAAGAAGTCGGGTTAACATATAGTCTACATATTGTCACGCTATCACCTACGGGGAACCAGCAGTGAACCTTTATTTCTAACTCCACGCGTACGAAGTTGCGGGCGGCCGCTAGTAAACAAATAAATATAACTATTATTGCTATTACTTCTTTCAAATGTTTAATACTTGTAAAGGTGTTCATTTGACATTGTGGATTAGCTACAATGGGAAGGGATGGCTCTGCCTTCAGCCCTAGAATGGCTAGAGAAAATTCGACAAGGCCATCAGGGCCGCGGTAGCATAATGGTCAGTGCATTTGCCCGAATAGCGAAGGGTACGGTTCGAGACCCGTCTGTTGCCTGGACCGCGTGGATTTTTTTTCTAGTAAAATTTTATTTAGATTTAACCGTCTAGCAGTTAAATGCTTTATAAATAAAAAAATAGGACATACGAGTTTTTATTTCAGATATCTTGCTCTAAGGGGGTGAAAAAGGGGATTGGAAGTTAGTCTGGGAAACCAATTTCTCCACGCAGACGAAGTCACAGACACCCAATAGTACTGTATATTTCGTTTTTATAATCATACTATAAAAACGAAATTGTGCCTGTCTCGTTACCTCTTAACCACTGAACCAATTTAAATGAGGTATAGATATAGTTTGAGTCCCGGTAAAGGACAGGATAGTTTTTATCCTAGATATCATGCTTAAAGGAGGTGAAAAGGGGGGAAAACTATATGGGCAACCAACCCACTTAGGCAAAGTCACGGGTACCCACTAGTATTTAAATAATCGTAAATTATTTCATAATTAGAAAGCTATATGATCAATGGTTATATTTAATCACCCAAAAGTAAATTTCGCCTTTGCAAAGCCGTGCGAATCGCTCATAATTCTTAGACAGTTAACTTACCAGGGGACTGTGGAGGTTGCGCGGGCACCGCAGCTGGTATAGTCGTCGCCCTAGCACCTTGCTGCTGTAGCCATTGCACCTGTTTACACAACATAATCAAATCCAGTTTTTTTTTTACTAACTTGCCTTTGCGTAATAGGGTATTTGGCAAATTTTAGATATTTTTAAATCTGTTGTGTCATTCAGTAAAAAACACTAAATTAGAAATTCAATTTTCAACATGCCGTGAAAACGTTTCTCTGGACATTATGGCGTCTCACTAGTGTGTGTCGTCATACGACTGTCATTGAAACGTCAAACGATACAATGTAATGCCACTGTGGCCGGAAGTTTACTAGCGTGTGACGTCATTTTAGTCTAGGCCAATCCCAGGCGTTTTCAGGCACGTGGCCATGGAGCAAAAAAATCATTTCTATTTAATGATTTAATAGAAAAGTTATTATTTATTTGTTCTTTGAGAAAAGTAAAATCGCTCCTAATATTCATATTAAATACCAACAATAGGTACATTATTTTTCATAGTGTCAAGTAGCAGATTAATCAATGCTCTTTTCTCGACAGGAAAGGAGCAAAGAATTAAATATGTTTCACAGGTGAATTTTCAAGTTTCAAATTTCAGGTATGATATGAAACAGAACTTTGGTGTTGACTTAGGTCAGTGAAGTCGACAATTCCGAAACATACGACAGTCGAAAAGATTTATAGATCTGAACTACTGTGGGCAAGCAAAGGAGGTCATACCGACCGTACCGAACTGCCTGTAGACAACATATTTCGAATGTCAAATTGCGCAATTTACCTGTTGCTGCTGCGTCAGTCCAGGCGGCAGTTGGCTTCTGATGAAGGTAACACTTTGTGGGGCGCCAGTCGGAGTCGGCGTCCCAGGGGAACCAGCTACCACACCCGGTTGCTACAGAAACATTGATATTAAATGTAATTATTAATCACATTTTGCTTGTTATTTGAGGATGAGTATAGAGAGGTGAGAAAGGTTGATGCCTCTCTAACTTCACACTTAACATCAGACGGACGAAATAGAAAAATTTACTAGGCCTTCTATAACATTGAAAAACTTAATGAATAAAATGATTCTGTTCTGGCTCGTATTCTGAGGCATTTCCATTACGCGTTTAACTTTTCTAAGTCTAATATGTATAGACCGGGGTAACTTCTACAGCTGAGCGACGAGCATGACGCGCTGCTTGAAGGAACAACTGCTTCAATTGCGTTTTATTCTAGTACATCTGACAACCATCACAGTACATTTATACCTGGAGTAATATCATTACACCTGAGCAGTGCCGTCTTTGATCTATTGCAGGCCCTGGGCATATTAGGATAATGGGGCCCCTATGACATCCGTTTGGTGATTTAACAGGAACTAGGGACTTTGTATTCGATCTGAGGGGGCCCCCTATCGATCGCGGGGCCTTGGGCACTTGCCCAAAGTGCCCACTGGGAAAGACGGGTTTGCACCTGAGTTCATAATACTTATAGGACTTAAGATATCTGGAAACAAAACTCGGAATTTTATAGATAAACTTAACCATGCTGTTGAGCTAAAGCAGCTGCTCGTTTTATCGACAGCTGTCGCCTCTTCTTCAGTTGTGTGACGAACTGGAGTTGCGTCTAAGTGGATTGAATCACAATCACCGGACTATGACACCTGGAAACCGCAGTATAGACACAGGACTTGAAATTGTCATAGGTACTAAACTCTGCTCATACACTCAATGCTCGTTGTGTGGTTATCTGTCGCCTCTTCTGCAGTTGTACGACGAACATGATGCGCAGCTGGGGATCCATCTGCTGGGGCTGTATCCAGATGGATCAGCTTATAAGCACCGGGCTATGACACCTGGCAACCGCCATATAGACACAGGTCTTGGGATTTTAAAGGAACTAACCTGCTGTTGCGCTAAAGCAGCTGCTCGTTGTATTGATAGCTGTCGCCTCTTCTGCAGCTGTGCGACGAACATGGCGCGCTGCTGGGGATCCATCTGCTGGAGCTGCGCGTGCGTCTGAGCGTCTAGGTGGATCAACTGACGGCCGCCGCCTGACCATGACACCTGGAGACCGTCATTTATATTGGAGAGGTGAGACAAGGAGAAACATCAGCTCCAATTGGAGAACCCATCTGGCAGCAGTTAGTAATGTTTAAAAAGAAGTAGCTTGAACGAAGGACGTAGCGAAGCCATTTTGGGATTCCAATATCTATACGAACTTCGAGGCATGCCTGACGTCGTTTCTCTCACACTTTACTGCCCGCATTACAGCTGGATAGGGAATACTTAGTTCATTATCTATTGCTAAGGTTCTTACGAAGTGCCTCTTCACACATTCCAGCTACCAATAGCAAGGCAACCAGCCCAAGATAAAGACTTGACACCTGTTGCGCGTGCTAAGACGACAACATGATGCGATACAGCGATTTGTACATGAAAATCCATGATATTTTACGGTTCAAACGTTGTCATAAATATAGTTACCTAGCTAAATGGGATTGCGCACTCGAACGCCTAAACCTAGAGCAGGGAAAGGCAAACTACGGGTCTTCACTGGGCCGCCGGGCCGCGAATATCAGACAAAAATCAAAGGTATTCACCAAACAAGTACCATTTTGTCACATGTTCCTACTTCGCAGAAAAAAATGAGCAAATTATATTATTTCAATAAAGAAACTGTCAAAATTCAAAAACTTGGCCCGTCATAAATTCTGATAGTAAATATTGGCATGACAAGGAAAAAGTTATCTTATACCTGACCTAGAGAAAGAGACACCTCCTCCTCCAGGGTAGGCTCCCCATAGAGTCGTTTCTCTACTTAGCTATTGATAAGCTATATTCTTACTTATGTCAGGGCAGTGTAGTGTAATTTTTAATATTTGGCATAACGTGCGTAAGATACCTCGTTTAGATATTTAACCCATGGTCGTAGAACATGTTTCGGTAATAACTCTTATTAGTAAGCTAAGCTGCTATGTTACTTCACCATGGGTGGAGTAATGTGTTAAAATACACTCATCAAAAGATTCTAAGCAACATGCATCATTTACGCAAACTATGAAACGATGATGATGATGAACCCATAACTTAGAAAAAACACAAGCACGCGCGCACATACTCGTACATACACACACGCAAGCACAGACAAACACATCGACTAAAAGAAATACTTTAAAAATAATGTTTCTTTTTGCTACTTTTAGTGATAATTATTATTAAAATATTAAGAGCCCTTTTACAAAATTGCGCCGCTGCCGTACTGATTGGCGCGTAGGTAGATTTGCACTAGTATAATTGCATTATAAGGGTAATATTTCGAGTCTTATAAATTATTTATTAATGAACTAATTATAAAAATATATTCATATTTCAGTAGTTCAACGATGGTAGATTAGTTTTATGGAAGTTTTTGATAGTAATCCTTTTTAGTTCAATATAGGAATAGAAGGTAAACCTGCATAATTTTTTTTTGATGTTTTTTTTTGATAAATAATGAGATGGAAAATCAAAATTCTAATACATTATGTTACAACAAAAACATATTTCTGATGACGAAGTAATTAATTTGATCTAATTTATTGAACGTTATTGAGAGATTGAGGCGTTTGAAGTTGTGCATATTTTCGTTTTTTCCATAAACTAGCTGCAGTAGAACGATCAGTACAAAAAAAAGGAAAATAGTATTTGCAAATATTCTACATTAACTTACAATCGGAAGAATAAATCTACTGTTTACTTCTATTGGAAATAGTCAAAATTTCCCTTTTCCAAGGGGGTAAAAGAGGCGCTCAAAAATTACGATTTTTTGTAAAAAAGTGAAAGGGCTCTTAAGGTGATCAATAATAAAGAATTTGTATTTGTATTGTATTATCATGTTGCTTTGACTCTTTTGATGAGTAGATATATATTTTTGGGCATCAAGGCTATGGAGCGAATGACAATATTTTTATGTTCAAACCAGTGCACGAAATTATCTTTATACTTAAAAGTGTTGAAGTTGGCATTTTTACCAGGTTTATAATTTAAGATCAGTATGGGACTTTTTTTGTAAAAGAATCGTTTGATGATTAAAAATATTATAGCAGTGAAAAGCTTAAATAAAATATATGGGCCAAACAAAAAAGGATGTCTGTTAGACAGAAAATTCTGTTTTTTTTTGCAGATTTTGGGTACCTGCACAAACTTATTTTAAAATAGTAACAAGCTTCTAACAAATATTTTAAATAATCAGAATAAGGGTTATTTACCTAATTTTACTTATAGCATTGTATCAGAACTTAAGCATGATACGTTCTTAAGATATCTAATCATATTAGTATTATTATATTAGAATAAAAATAAAATTAGATAACATTGATTGGAACCATAAATATGTAAATGTATCTAGTTAGAAATATGTTACTATTTTCATATTATTACCCTCTGGTACATCTTAATAGACAAAAAAGCATATTATGAAAAAGCAAAACGCTGGTGCAATTTAGGATTAGATCAAGTGGGAGTTGTACAGAGTAAATAAAAGTTTCTGTCCCCGTAGCATTAGCACCAGAATTAACTTTATATCACATTTTTAATCACCCCTACCTGTGAAACTCTAAAGTAGTTTGACGATAGAGCATGATAAAAACGAGCTATATGATAATCGGGGTGCTAATGCTAGAGGAAGTGATGTTGGTAATGAATAGTGTGCAGTCATGCAATGATGAATGGTGTAATGCAGCGCAAGCAAAACAATAGTAAAGGATTCTTTTACTTTTTATATTAATAAAGATTTTCTCAAACATAACTTGTTCTTATATGTAACAAAACAAAAAGTTACACTTAGTAACAAACAATAATTGCAAAAAATGAGGTAAGCTTATATTTTAAGATTTTTCTTATTCAATAGCTCTTACCCTAGGACCAACTGCTGCAGGTTGAGCTATCTGCTGTCTCTGTTGCAAGTACTGCTGCTGTTGCCAAGAGACATTTTGCCCTCCTTGCACTATCTGTTGTCCTCCAGGTGAAACAATCTGTTGGCCCCCACCATGTGTGATGATCTGCTGGATCCCACCCCCTGAAGTTAACTGAGTACCAGGCTGTGGCGACTGAGGCACCTGTGACAACACTTGCTGTGTCTGTCCTACAGTCTGACCAATGATTTGCTGCCCTGACTGTGTTACAATCTGTTGAGATGACTGTGCAATGACAACTTGCTGTTGCCCTTGTTGTGTGATCACATGTTGACCACCCTGTGACAGCACTTGTTGTGCACCTTGAGTTATGATTTGTTGGCCCCCTTGGTTAACAATCTGACCCCCCTGATGAACGATTTGGTTTTGAGATACAATTTGTTGACCACCTTGCAGGGTCACTTGTTGATTGCCATGCACTAAAATCTGCTGTTGGCCAGGATGCTGATTTATCAGCACTTGCTGAGGTGCTTGCACTATCTGCTGCTGCCCAGAGCTATTCAAAAGCTGTTGTTTCTGTACCAAAATTTGATGATGGGTCTGACTTATACCCTGTCCTTGTGAACCAATAGATTGCTGAAGAATTTGTTGAGATGTCTGCTGAATTGAATGCTGTGGACTGGACTGTGGTTGTTGGTTATTTATCAGGGCTTGCTGCTGGGTTTGCATTATTTGTTGCTGTAATATAACTTGACTCTGTGGGTTTCTGGTCTGTACTAGAGGACTTCTAATTATCTGATGTTGACCTTGTACATTCTGGACCATTTGTATATTTTGTTGCCTCCAAGCCCCCTGTACTGGAACATTTGAATTTTGTTGACCCTGTATGGTCTGTTGCACCTGTTGAATCTGTTGACTTATTACAGATTGTTGACCAGAATTGCCTACCAATTGATTAAGTTGCACACCTTGCCCAGTTTGTCCCTGTGATGATGTAACAAGACCTTGTTGGTTGACAACTCCCATGTTGATATTTTGTTGTTGATTTGTCAATGACTGCACAGTCTGCTGTTGGAGCAAATTTTGATTTTGATTAGATAATTGTTGTCCACTACTCAAAAGTTGCTGACTAATTACTTGACCTTGGCCTAAGCTTTGATTCAATTTAGCATTTTGCAGACTTTGTTGGAGATTCTGAGTGGACTGAGCTAACTGTTGGGCAATATTTTGTACAGCTTGTGAAGCACTCTGTTGGCTCAAACCTAAGCTTTGCTTCATTGCCAAATTCTGTTGATTCAATTGTGCCTGTTGCAGATTATTAGCACTCTGACTTAGCATTTGGCTTATGTTTTCAATTTGTTGCTGCGCAGAACTCATAGATGTGGGTGTTTGGATATTTTGCTGTATGTGATGTTGGCTACTTTGAATGTGCTGTTGAATTTGATTGGACAGTCCTTGATTGATTTGAGAAACAGACACATTGGGTTGGAAGCTCTGTTGGTTTTGTTGGTTGTTCAGCTTGTTCTGCTGTTGTTGCTGCTGTAACATTTGCATTTTGAGTTGATGCTGTTGCATTATTTTCTGTTGTTGGATTTGTATTGCAGTCAAGCCATGCGGCTGGGATTGTTGTTGTTGCTGTCCTTGGTATTGTTGTTGTTGTTGCAAGTTGACTTGTTGTGTTTGTATGTTCATACTTGGTTGCGATACTATAGTATTTTGACCAAACTTCTGCATGAGTTGCGCATTTGCTTGTGTACTCTGTATCTGAATATTCTGTGTAACAATGCCTTGTGGTAATGATTTACTCATGATGCTTGAAGTGGGTAATGGTGTGGTTGTGAAACCCATAGATGTTACACTGGATGTACCTACTGATGATGAATTTGCCGATGATGGTGGATGATTCCAAGGCATCCTTTGTTTTAGTTTATCAAGTAGTGCTTGTGTACTGTCATCTTTGCTCTCTGTCATATTTTGTGTGGGTACCTCGTTTTTAGCAATGCCTTCTTCAAAATCAAATCCAGTGATAGCACTGATACGATCCATTGGTTTCGGTGGCGGTTGGGGAACAATCAACAGTTTCGGATGAAACACTTCAGCTACAGCTTGTATTCTAGCTTTTAAGCTTTCTAGAACCCAATCAGGAGTAACAATTTTAATTTTATTCACAGGTAAGCTAAGAGCAGCACTGTATTTACTGCCTGATGCTGAGCCACAGATCAAATGAGTGCACTGAGTGTCCAGGTTTAACTTTACTTTACCTCCGTGAAACGTAATAAGCGCGAACAATGATTTGGCGTCGGCCGCACTCACTTTAGACACACAAGCAACAACATTCAAGAATATCTTGTTTTTATTGGGTATGTATGGCTTGGTGCAAGCCAATTTCTTCAACCTCGCGCAGGCAAACACCCAGTTCTCAGTCACTGCCGGTATTTGGTAGATATCCTGAGCATCGTCGAGGTCTGTATCTTCAGCGTTTGGCCCACAAATAAGATGAGTTACATAGTCTGAGAAATACTTTGTACTCTCAGCGCCGCCCGACTGCAGAAGTTGCAATACCTGAAATAGACACAAGTAACGTTATACGTTACTTCGAATAAAGGGTGGTGTAAACAAAATAAAGCAAGAAAAAAGTCATAAAAACAAACCCTTTCCGAGACATCGCCAGACAGGTAATATTTGACATCTTTGAAAATAGGCTCTTGCAAAGTTAAAGAGTCTAGATCGTCAACAATCGTTACCATTTTCTATACACTAAAATGTTAAAAGAAATGGGGTTTTTAGTTAATTATACATTTTTATCTTCATCAAAACGCCGAAAACTCAAGCAACGACGTCCATGATTGGTGTTGCCATTTTAGTAAAAAAAAACTTACAAAGTTTTCGAGATTTTGCATTGCAATCTGCAATAATAAATCAACTATTTACAACACATATTTCAACAACAACCAATAAATCACACCATTCTTTCTGACTTTTATTTAAAATCCAAACATATTAAATATTTAAAATTTAAAAATTATGTATAGTCCACAAAATGCTGGCAGCTTAAATATTTATCTGTACACATACGCATCAAAAAGTCAAAAGTACTACGACTATTCAATGATAGATGGCGTAGCGTTATTAAATTAATATTTGTACAATTGAGGACTCGTTGAAGAAGAGTAAGTTATCAAAAACTGTCAAAATAATTTTAATATATTTTGTCATAATATTAAGTTTATACATATTAAGCTGGTAGCTATAATATGTGCACTATGCCGGTGCCCGCGTACACGTATCGTCCAAAGTATTACTATTTAACAATAGATGGCGTAGCTATTAAAATTGAATTAGTCCTTTCTTATTAAACAACAAAAAATTAAATACCCCTTACTAAGAACGAATATATATATAATTATTTATTAAGTGTATTTATATACACAAATTAAATAATTATATATACAAATATACATAATTTTATGTAATTAGGGGAGACTCCTTCTTAGCACAGGGGCAGACAGAGATTGAACATATTGATTTCTGAACGTAACTTTATGTTAATTTATGCCGTAACTATATTTTAATATTGGCAGCACTGGCTGTGACAAACGTCAAGTGGAGGTTTTGGCGGAATTTCATCGAGTGCTGTTGGCGTCTTATTTTATTTATTCATAAATTCGTTCATAGTGGATATTGTGAAATAAAATTGGTGTGATTTTGTGTTACGACCATCTGCGCAAATGAAGAATTAGTCGAACTTTTAAAATATACGGTATTCCGGTCAAGTGGACGTGAGACCTTTATTGTAGTGTTGACTACCTCACAGAAGCTTATCGGAAAGACCAACTCGATACATTTCGTGCCAAACACTCCAAGAAACATAAGAATGTGTCACACCGACATTCTAATGTAAATAAAAAATGAAGATAAGGATTTGTATTTATGTATACGACTGAAGGACTTGTATCCATGGCCATGAATTATTAAAACAAAGAAAAAAGAACAAACGTCAAGTCAACAAAATGCGCGCGTTTTGTTTTCAAAAAGATTTATATGCTTTCGTCGTATTTGTACCGATGAAGTAAAAAATAAAAATAAATGTTGTAAGGGATTTACTATCACGTGAGTAAAGGTTTCCAACTAATTCTTGCACAAAATTGTGCAGTACTTATTAGTTTTCAACCCACCTTTTTGTTTTTGCTTGCCAGTTATTTCACATTATTTTTTTGTAATATTTTATTTTCCAAGTGACCGTGGCGCAGATTTGAACAGAGCAAACGGGGCAGATTTCGGCCTGCATGTTGCTTCTTCACGCCTCTTTTAAAGGATCCCAGGTTGTAAGAGGGAGGGAACACGTGAGCGGGTAGAGCATCCCATTTACTGATAGTGCGACAAAGAAATGAGTCACCAAATTTCTTTGTACGCGTTGGAATTGTGGCCACAGTAAAACGGTGACAACGTAGGCCAGCGCTCGTGGTCCACTGAAGGTAAGGGGAAGGTGGGATAAGAGAGAATAACTCCTCACAACACTCGCCGTGGTACAAACGATAGAACGCGCTTAGTGATGCCACGTCACGGCGTAATTGAAGAGGCTCAAGGTGTTTAGTCACCTCCTCATTGCCTATGATGCGGATCGCGCGCCGCTGTAACCTATCCAAAGCATCGAGCAAGTACTTGGCGGAGCCATCCCAGAGGTGCGAGCAATATTCCACGCAGGACCGCACTTGCGTTTTGTACAACAAGCACAGTTGATCGGGCGTGAAAAAACGCCGCACCTTGTTCAGGACTCCGAGTTTGCGTGAAGCTGTTTTGATCACGGTTTCGATGTAGTCCTTTGGATTCAGGTCTGAGCGAACTTCCATACCGAGCATGGAAATGTTGCTCTGCAGCGGTAGTGTTGTGCCCTGAAGAGATGGAAGGGGAAGGAATGGCGATGTTTTTGCCGTGAAAGCGCAAGCCTGAGTTTTCTTGGCATTGAACTCAACCAAGTTCCTGGTACCAAATGTGGTCCAAAGCCTGATTGAGTTCAATGACAAGATTTTCCCGTTTCTCCTTGGTTACTGCCTGCCCAGCCGCTGCTTGTCCGAGATACCCCGCATGCACTGTACTATCGTCTGCATAGCAATGAATATTCCCAAGAGGAATCAAGTCATTGATATGCAGCAGAAAGAGAGTGGGGGATAGGACGGAGCCCTGGGGAACGCCGGCATTCACTGACATGAACCGCGAACTACTACCATCCGTAAGGACAGGAATTCTACGCTCATGCAGGAAGTCAGCTACCCAAGAACAGAACTGGGCTGGCAGACCGTATGCCGGAAGCTTGGAGAGAAGGCTTTTGTGCCAGACCCTGTCGAACGCCTTGGCAATGTCAAGGCTGATAGCCAACGAGTCGCCACGCTTGTCGATAGCCTCACCCCAGATATGAGTTAAGTACGCTAGAAGATCACCCGTCGATCGTTTCGGTCTAAATCCATATTGACGATCATTAATCAGGGAGTGATCCTCTAGGTAGCGGGTCAGATGGTTATTAAGGACCCTTTCTAGAACTTTACATAAAACTGAGGTGACTGCTATTGGCCGGCAGTTTGCCGGGTCTGAGCGATCCCCTTTTTTGGGCACCGGTTGCACGTTAGCATCTCTCCAAGTCTCCGGCACACGTCCCAAAGAATACGAGCATTGGTACAAGCGCGTGAGCACGGGAGACAACTCCGCTACACATTTTTTAAGCACAACTGCTGGGATGCCATCAGGTCCACTAGCTTTCCGGACGTCGAGTGATTGCAATTCGACACGAACTTCACGCTGCCTGATTTTAATATCAGGCATCGTTGTGCTACAGTGAGGTAATGATGGTGGCAGTGCATTGCAATCATCGATTCGGGAGTTAGCCGCAAAGATTGCCAGTAAATCGGCTTCTTCCTGCGGCTTATGAGCTAGTGTTCCGTCTGGGCATCTCAGAGGTGGCAGCGAGGGCTGGCAGAAGTTTTTTTGCACGGTCTTGGCCAAACGCCAGTAGCTACGGGAGCCCGCAGGATGCGTTATAAGTTCCTGGCCAACACGTGCAACACGCTGGGCATCCGCTCTGATGTAAGCCTTCTTACAGGCCTTGGAAACAGAATTGTAGGCTGCTTTGAGTGAATCGACCCCGGGATCCTTGAGAGCGCGGCCTCTGATCCAAGCACGATATGCCGCTTGCTTACGCGAAGCAGCTTCACCACAGTCGTGATTGAACCAGAGGTTACGTGTGCCCTTACTGATGAGATCAGAATGAGGAATATAGTATTCCATACCCATTATAATCTCCTCGGTAATGGCAACGGCACTGCCCGATAGGTCCCTGTCACTGAAGCAGCGCTGCCTCCAAGGGACGGACGCAAAGTAATCGCGCATACCGTCCCAATCTGTCGACCCATAATGCCTGATACGGCGCTTGACCACTGCTGGACGCGGAGGCTTGGCCTGTGGTGTTTTGGCAGATATCAGGCAGTGGTCGGACGAGCCCAGGGGGGCTCTTACCACAACCTGATAGCCCTGTGGATGGGTCGTGAGCAGAAGGTCCAGTAAAGAAGGCGCTTGACTTGGAATATCTGGGATCCTGGTGGGCTGATCAACCAGTTGCTTCAAGTCATGCGTAAGAGCGAATGTGTGAGCAGAGATCCCTACAAGGTCAGTTTTGAAAGAACTTAACCACAAATTGTGGTGAGCATTAAAGTCCCCCAAAAACACCAATTCTGCATTGGGATATTGTTCCTGCGCGTCATCTGCTGCCCGACTAAGGTGCTCAAAAAGTCGAGTTGTCTCAATATCGCCGGTGTGGGATCTGTGGGGTACACGTCGACTCTGGCCCCCTGGCCAGCATGGAGGAGGGATCTTCCAAGCAGCGGAGACGGCGACAACAAACATCCGCCCGAACATACAGGCATACACCGGCTTTCGCTTTGAAGGATTCTTCAAGCACGTAACCGGGATAGTTAAGGTAGCCTGTGTCAGCAGGCGGAAGTATTTGTGTCTCCGTCAGGAACAACAATGCTGGCCGTGCTGTCTCGAGATGGTGGTGGACAGCGTTGAGATTAGAGTGGAGCCCGCGAATATTGCAGAACTCGACCTCAAACAGCGTTGAAGGCGTATACAAACTTCATATGTTTTCTTACAAGTTTGATATTAGGTTTATTTTATGTTTAATTTTGCGTCTGAGGCAGTATTATAATTATATAATAATAATAATAACAATAAACTAAAACTCTTGTGCAATATGATTACTTTTGTTAACAAGGAGGAAGTCCAACAAAATGAAAATACTTTTTTTTTATTTTTGTTACTGTAATGCAAGCTAACTTTAGAAAGGACATTGTTCTGCGTCCATACATAGTTAGCCTAAGAACCAACAATCATGAAATATTATTTTCTAGGTTCGAAATCGAATCGTAAATGACTGTAAAAGCAAAGATTATTGACGGACACTTCTGAAAACTTAAATTATTAGGAAAACTAAAATTTTTTTGAGGTTATGTTTAATATTCACTGAAACATAGGTCAACCTATGAACTTAGTATGAATTCAGTATGAAGTAAATTAATATTACAACTAATTCATTTTATTCGGTGCGATTTTAAAGAACAACTATTAGGAAGAACTTGGTTAGGTAGGAATCATGAATAAAATAAAAACAATAGTTTTGCTTCTTATTATTTATTGACTATTTTTCACATAATTATATCATATTGTATTTATTTGTTTAACACATGTATATTGTGTTAATATGCAGCGTGAATGGTGCTCTTGAATAATTTGGCAGTATGATCCTCTCAGGATGTTGTGGCACAGGTTCACTAGCACTTGTTAATAAGGTCTCTCCTCTTTGTT